ATATATAACTTATTTATTTAAAAAGTTTAATATTTAATTTTATATAAGAATTTTATTAAATTATTATAAAACCTTATAAACGTTTATAACTTTTTGAATAAATAGGTTATATATTTAGTTTTAAATATAAAAGTTGTATTAAAATATTACGTATTTAACGATATACATTTTACATTTATAATATATTAATTGGTAAAGTTATAAGCAATAATATCCCTTAACAGCTTTACATATAAATTTGTATGTATAACTGTTAGTGTATACTCTTATACTCATTTCACCACAGATATTAGCCCTGACGTTTTTTCAATTTTTATATATAATAAGAATATAATACTCTATTTAAAATTAAAGACCGTACATTTTTATCTATTTTCTTGAATTAAATATAAATATGCGAAATCGTTGATTTTGTATGGGAAATGGGTGGCCCCCACTAGGGTGGCCCCAGTAAGGGTGTTTCGACTTATCTGAAGGATGCGGCACAGGATCAAGCTACGTATATTCTTTGTTGTTTGTGTTAACTTCTTGTCTTGGTCACGGTGGATTTCCTTTTCAACTTTACAATAAATAGGCTACATACAAATCTATATGCAATTCTTCATTTTACTTTGTGTTTACTTTTTTTCTTTTTAAACAACAACTAAATCTTTAGACAATCTGGCTGCCTTTTTTCCGACCACTCTCTAACATCATGATATCCAAGTATCTTTTACTCCCCTGTGTCGTCAGCGTACTATCACTTGTTTCATCACGACCTGTCCCAACTTTGATTTCAGCTGGCATATTAGATGGGGCCCAGAATGACAACACTTTACCCTCATCAAAATGGCGAGACGATATTAGCCGGTCGATAAGACTGATGCAGACGAACATAGAGCCTCAGTATCTGCAATAACAACGTTGGGATCACTTACACCCACCGTACGCCCAAAGATACCACAGTATAGTAACATTTCGATAAAAATATCGTCAATGGTTATAACTACTTAGCCATGCCATACGACAGCATTATATCGAGCAAAAGTCACATCGTGCGCCGAGCAAGATTCCCCTAGAAAGAAATACACACAAGACGGATGTCCGGTGGAGCTGCTACTGAATCTTCAGGAAGAGGAAGACATGTTATTAGGGATCACTACAAAATATATGCCTTTATTGGTCCCAAGACTATCCCTAATTACCAGCCGTTTCCTCAATCATTGGGCAGTATTTATAGGGCGTGGTATTGCGAAAACCAGCGCCGACATTCACGTGCTGCAACCACTTTATCCGCCGTAGTAATTATTCATAAAACGTTTCCATGGGTCGGGAACGACGCGTAGGTACCGCGTGTCTCATCATGGTGGTGCCGGGGACTGGGCGAAATATTTGAACTGGGTTTATGGGCCGCATCCAGTTCGAGCGACAGTAGTTGTTACAGCGGTGTTGGCTGAAAAAAGAACTGATGCCATCGGGTCCAAGATCAGTCACGCCATAGTCGCGGTTTCGCGACAAGATGACGGGGTCAGAGAGGACAGCCTCGTGCTGGTAGATGCCGCCCTGGAGATCACACAAGACGAACTGGCCGCCTGTAACATGGTAGCTGAAGTGACTAAGGGCCTGCATGACCTCTCCCCACGCCTCCGAGTCGTCGCTCCATCCGGTGTTGCTGTTGAACTTTTGATAGTTTTGGATGAATGGTTCGCATAGGATACGTTGTCCTGCCCATTGTGCCCCAGCTTCCTGCGTAAATGACCACACAGCGGGTACGTTGATCTTGACGGATTTGTTGACTACGTTGAGTTCATTGAATTTATCGATGATATCTAGAGCCTTATTGACAGCTTTGATGTCAAGAGTGAAGTAGTCTTCCTCGAAGACGCCCCCGGTTTTGAACCACTTGACGACGCACGCCTGGCCGTTGCGTGGGCCCGAAGTGTAGCTTCCCTTAGCTACCCACCGGAACGCGCCACTAGCAAAGGGGTTGTCGAGCTCATGACTTGGAATGTTGGCACTGCTGGAGTTGTTGTATCTGCCACTATCAAAGCCGCTAGACAATGGAGTATCGACATGGTGCCCATGAACGCAACCCGCGCATCGCGATACGCCGGGATTCTTGGAGAACTGATTGGCTGAATAGGACGACCGAGGCAGATTGCGGCCGCAGGAAGCACACTCACGCATATTCGAATCCATCTTTGCAGATGTGAAGATCGAAGTCTTGTTGTGACTGCTGTATGTGTAGTTTGTTGTTGGGTTTGGTATTGTGTTTGAAAACTTTTAACCTAGACATTTAACTAGAAATGACATGTCAAATTTGTAAACACTAGGAATACCTAGGTACCTACCTACCTACCTATGTTGGTGCCCGTGCATAGGTTAAGACTGTGTTGCCTACCTACCGTTACCAAGGTACGTATGGGACTTGGAACTTGCTAAGAAGGAGAGGGGTAAAAGGAACAAATTCTTGTTTGGGTGCCTGAGGTAGCTTAGTAGGAAATATTACTGATAGTTCACCTTTATCATGGAGTTACGTTTTTTTTTCAGGTACCGGAGGGCGGGCAGGCTGCAGGTATCGTGATTCTTGAATTTAGCGGAAGGCCCTTTCCTGGAGACTTCAAGTAGAATTTTTCACTGTCGCCTGATGGTTTATCTAGACCTCTACCTCGTACTTAAAATGACAAGAGTAGCGGTCCAGGGGATGATGATATTACGAGTATCGACTTGTATAAGTGTTTGATTAAAACATATAAAACATGCCCCGTAGTTTTATACTGTTTAGTTTTGACAATGATATATATTAAACTGTCCCCCTTTTCGCCTTCGCCAAAAATTAGGTACTAACCGGGCACCCAATCTCCTTCGTATGGAAGACGAGATCTGGGTTGAAGTCAAACCACCGATCGAGCATGATATTCGTATTACTAACCCGTTAATATTAGCATTAAAACCTAGCCATCATCATATCACTACTTAACGGGCTACTGTGGATCTTGCGCGACATTAGTTGGCAACTAATAACCTACAATAAGTTTCAGATGTATATGCATCATCACACTGGAAGTGTCAAAAGAAGCCGTAAATACCTAATTTAGGTAATAGAAACCAAATTAGCTGTAAAATATCTATACTGCTAAAGTAATTTCGATCCCTTCATTTCAGCACGATTGAATATCTTCCATTTTTAATCATTAGTGGATCTAACCATATGAATGAAGCTGTTAGAGTTACGAGGGAGGCTTAATCACACTGGGGTTCTCCTCATATAATACTGCCATCGTGGTCCGTATTTTAGATATCATATCTGTGTAAAGGGGCTGAATAGAACCCAACATCCGAGAGTAATCAAATGAGCCAATACTAGAATACCCCCCACCCCCTCTCTTGAAAAGTCGATAAACTCTTGAAGTGTATTTGTTATATACCTAGATTATTAGACCTTACTCGAACTCTGCTTGAGAGTCGTGATACCTTATATGAATAAATTTTAGAGCTTCTCATATAATACATACTAGCAGACGACGTCGAATCTTCACCGTACCTGATACATCCTCACTACTTCTTAGATATTTAGTAGGGAATATTTGTATATGCGTTCCTGGGTAGATCCGGTCCTATTTGGCTATAAGTGGGGGTCTACCCCGACCTAATGATGTCGTGAACTCCGATCCCGGTTGAGCGGAGAAGCCAACACTTGTCTTAGATAATATACTGTAAAAGTCGCCGGATTTTCAATAGCCGGAAAGCCCCTGAAGACATCACGATTCCTAAAGAAGAAGAAAAACCCCCTTGGTAAAGCGATAATGGAGCTCTATCAGCTTACGGCAACCCAAGCGCTTGCGAAATTTAAAGATGGTCCGGTAAAAGTAGAAGAATATGCTCGATCACTCCTAGCACGAATCGAAAAGAGAGACGATGCCGTCAAGGCCTGGGCATATATCAATCCGGAACATGTAATCCAGCAGGCAAAGTGGCTTGATGCTCTACCCCCTGAACGCCAGGGGCCTTTGCATGGTGTCGCCGTTGCGGTGAAAGATATCATGTATACGAGACGTCGCTCTACTCTTCCTCACTACTGACATGCGGTCGCTAATTCCTTGTAGACATGCCAACGCAGCATAACTCCTCGATCTACGAGGGAGATGGGCCAAATGTCGATGCGGCGACTGTTGCAACGCTGCGCCAAGCCGGTGCCTTAATACTAGGTGAGGTTTTAATGAGGTCCGGAAGAGTAATGTACCCGAGTATTAATTGGTTAATACAGGAAAGACTACAACGACAGAGTTTGCATCTACCGCAGTTGGGCCAAAAACACGGAATCCTCATGACGCAACGCGGACCCCAGGCGGATCATCCTCTGGGTCTGCGGCGGCAGTGGCTGATTTCCAAGCGCCTATCGCACTAGGGTCTCAGACAGGCGGGAGTACAATTCGCCCGGGCTCATTCAACGGGATATTTGCGTTTAAACCGACGTGGAACGCCGTCAGTCGCGAGGGTGTGAAAATATACTCGCTCAACCTCGACACAGTTGGCTTCTTTGCGCGGAGCGTGGAGGATCTCCAGCTACTAGCCGACGTCTTCGCGCTTGAAGACGATACGCCCACACCAGACGACTTCTCAATCGAGGGGTCTAAATTCGCGCTGTTGAAAACAGCAGTATGGCCCCAGGCGGGGCCCGGCACAGTCACGGCGTTAGAAGCTGGTGCAAAGCTACTGCGAGATCATGGAGCAGAGGTCGAGGAGATCGAGCTGCCACCAGAATTCGACAAGATTCCCGAATGGCACGGCGTAATACTTGACACTGATGCGAGAGCAACATTCTTGCCGGAGTATCGGCTTGCTAAAGAGAAGTTAGCGTCTCTCCTGGTTGACCATGTTGAGAATAGCAGTAAGATATCGCGGACCGCTCAGCTTGAAGCTTTCGACGAAGTAGCCGCACTAAGGCCTAGAATTGATGCCATAACCGGTAAATATGCTGCTATTCTTACGCCAAGCGTGGTCGATGAGGCGCCGATGGGCATAGAGTCTACTGGAAGCCCGGCATTTAATAAGATATGGACGGTAAGTCATTATTTCTAAGTGATAAGTTGACCATTATTCACTTTCTTTTTAGGCTCTTCACGTGCCGGTAGTGAACATTCCTGGTTTTAAAGGCGGGAATGGAATGCCGATTGGTCTGTCGTTGGTTGCGCCGAGATACCATGATAGGCATCTACTTGCGGTCTCCAAGGCCGTCGGGGAGATTTTCCAAGTTAAAGGAGGTTGGCAGACTCAAAGCTTAGGATAACTGCATTTTGTCGCCCCTGTGAGATGAAGTCGGCTACATGTTCTGCCAACTAGTTGTATATAGCCGTTAAGTTACTGGTAGACTTCCATACACTGGTGTATAGATATACATAATATTCTCATTAAAATATCGAATAATGAGAACAAGTGAAATTAACGAGTCTCACTATACTGGGAGGGAATTGCCTAAAGTGCACTTGGATGGCTATTTCTACCTAGAGTAGGATACCTCCTCTTCCCCACCCAAAGCCCCAAAGCGTTGGGTTTCAATTTGGGTTTTGTTGAAACAAAAATTGACATGAATATCATCCAGACACACCGTCCAATTGTTGGCCTTTTAATTCGAGCCTCAGTGCCTCATAACTATTGGTTTAGTTTAAATGCATGATATGATCACCATATCTTCTCATTCTCGGCCAGGGGCTCGACAGGCACTGCCGGGCCCCGAGGAACAATGATAGGACCGTCGATCTTAGCGACCTTTGCCCTCGCGTTTGCGTATCCGTGGGCATACAAGTTAATCCACGGGGCACTAGTCTTGTGAAAGGCACCAGCAGTCACTTTGCTGTTCTCGTCCCAGTAAAGCCGGCGTAGCCACTTGTTCAAGTGCGGGTAGTCGTGACGGATACTCTTTAGGTTACATAGGAACACAGTGTAGTACGCGGCGTCGAATCGTACTATTGTTGGGTATAGGCGCACATCGGCTTCGGTGAGCTGGTCTCCGAGTAGGAAGGGCTTGCCGTGACCGGCCAAGATGCCCTCAAGACGGTCGAGCGACTTGAATAAGGGGTATACATTCTCCTCGTAGGATTCCTGCTTGGTAGCGAACCCGCTCTTGTACACGCCGTTGTTGACTGTGTTGTAGACCCATTCGTTGATCTCATCGATATCCCTGCGTAAGTGTTCTGGGTAAAGGCCGCCTCCGGGCTTATTAACCTCCCGGAATTCTTCAGGGATGAAGGCGTCAAACGCAGAGTACAACATGCGGATAATCTCACTAGACTCGTTATTGACGATAGTTTCGGTCTTCTTATCCCATAGAACTGGTACGGTAAACCTGCCGTTAAAGTTGGGGTCTACTTTGAAGTATAGTTCTCGTAGATACGTAAAGCCATATAGAGGGTCTTTCGACAGACTACCATTCGAGCCGTCGAACCACCAACCCTTGTCGCTCATGGATGCGCTCAGGTAATATAGGTCAATAATATCTTCAAGGCGCTTTAAGGAGCGCAGGATGTTGGTGCGATGCGCCTTGTAGTTTAGGAGTTACGTTAGCAATTGGCAGATCGACATGAACGTAGACGTCAGCTTCACATACCCAAGGACAACCGCCGGAAATATATAACACATAGCGACCTTTTTCAGCAGGGAATTTGGAGCTAGGGTCTGCGGAGATGAAATCGCGGAATGTGCTATCAGGTCTTGTAAACCGACCATCCTTTTGGTATTCGATTTGGGTCTTATTTTTATGGTCAGCTTCACGTACTGCAATCGGGAATCAGGGTTGATATGGGGTATTTGAAAGCTTACAGGGTGAGACATGTTTCTAAAATATCAATGATAAATAGGATGGTTGCTTTCCGAAACGATACCGAACTCGTGGGTATCTAGCCTGTTAAATAGAAGAATAGAAGCATAGAAGCATAGGAGACTCTTCACTTTGATATGCATCGTACCTACCTAAGGTTCCGGATATTCCATAGAGGATAGGGTACTTGGTACCTCACTCACCATGCGGAACGGCGGTTGAAACCCCGACTGTTCGGCTTAAGCATGCATCCATGTGGTGTAAGTAAAGACCTCAATGATGTACTTGTACTACTATTACGCCATATTATTGCACCTTTTGCACTTCTTACCTACCTAGGTACCTACCTAGGTATGCGCGTGGTTTGGTTAGGTTTAGTCTCTTACGATTGGAGCGAATCTTAGGTTTATCGTGCGTCGTTCGTCCGTTGGTATCATGACAAATCTTGCTGGACCAGATTGAAATGATTCCAAAGCTTCAATTGTAAGCTTCTAAAATGTTAGGTAATAAAATAGGCTTGCTTACCACATCGGCGCATTCGTATTTACTAACATGAACCATGATATAAGTCTTCGTCTTATCAACTTTAGGTATGTACCTACACATACGCCATACGTGGTGACTTTGATTTATTTACTTAATTTTTATTATGGACTTGTATGTGATGTCTATGCTATTACAAGATGGACCGGTATAACCGTGTATATTTACAGCTTCGAATCTTTCTTGCGAGTCCCCTCTTCCCCGCCAGTAGGAATATAGTCGCTTGTCTCGGCCTTGAGGCTGATCGGGTCGCCTAGCTGACTTGGATTGGCATTAGGTCCTTGGAGCTTCTTCACTGCCTTTTCTCTCAGGGTCTCTCTATCTCTGCTCCCATTGCCCTTGCTATTTTTGCTGCTCTGTTTGTAATCACGAGAGGGTGACTCTGAAGCGTTAGTAGCACCCTCTTCTTGCTTAGTTGGTATGGTATCACTTTGCTCTGCCTTGATGCTGATGGGGTCACCGAGCTGGCTTGGGTTGGCGTCAGGGCCTTGTAGCTTTTTTGTTGCTTTATCTCGTAGCGTTTCAGGCATACTGCGTTGCGTATTATTCAAGTAGAAATATGTTATACACAGCCTTGCGTCAAATAATTTCCCCTGCGCTAGGAGCTATGTGCTTGGAATAATGAAATATTGTTGATATAGAATATATGAGACTGATAACGAAGTAGTGATAATATTGACGAAGGAAAGAAAATTAGACATTATCTACATTGCTTGTCTTGTTCTTACAACTCATGATTCGTGATCGCATATATATCGAAGTCGATGACCTCATCATACCCCCTTATTTACCCCCTACCAGCTGTAGATACCTAACCTAGGCATTTGAGAAGCGCAAAATTTTAATGTCTGTAGGACCTACATGTATTCCCTAGAATAAAATTTTAGAGTAAACAGTACATGTAGGTAGTAGGTAATAAATGCTATTCACTTGTTACAGGTATCCGCGAATAGTATCATCCGTTAGGAGGTACCTATGGTAACAAATCTGTTTCAATCAAGTATGACCTGATGACCTGTCTCTAAGTTTGAGATTCATTAGCAATCGGAGATGGAACAAGATACCTTATTAAGACACTAGCATGTCACTGGTTCTGTTATTTATATATACACGTCAAGTCCGGTTGTCGGGGATGTTATTGTGTAAGTTGATAAAGTTAGCACTCATGACAATCTCAAAGCATTCGCCATATCCTCAAAAGAAAATCTCAACTAGGAGAACACGACAGCGAAGAAATAACTTAACATGTTAATGGGTATGTACAACAGCATCATAAGGATATATACAGGTTCGTGGCGGCATCAACTGCCTAGATAACGTCTTCGACCCTTGGGTCTGACTCTTGTGGGGTCTGGTAGGGGTTTTTGAACCCGTCCAATTTCTGGACTCCTCCGTCGCGATCTTGCTAGACCTGGACTTCTATCGCGAACATCTCTACGAAGTGGGCTATGCTTAGATGATACTGTCTTTACAGCCTCACTACTTATGTATGAATCTGAGTGAAATTCGGTTCGGGGGGTTGGTGTCTCTGATTCGTTCTTATCGTTCCCCTGGACATCACGTCCTAAAGATATTGGCTTGTTCTCATCCGCGATATCCTCCTCTGCCTCCTCTGCCTCCTCTTCCTCTGGTTGAGACTCTAGGGACTCTATATCCGACATATCGGACACAGAAGTGATTGGCGTATCAGGCTCGTCCGACTGTGATGTTTCCTCGTCGTCGAAACCGCGAGACAGTGTTCCCGACAGCACCATCGCGTCCGTCTCGGGTTCCGAGAAGGATAATGTTCGCGCTGGAGTTGACACCGCAGAATCGTCCGAACACATCGTAAGAGACCGGGGTGAAGGAGGAAGATGGCTAGCCGGAATACGGGAACCAGTATCAATAGCGAGGGGTTCATGCGTCATTACAGGCACATCGTCCTCCAGATCGTCGAAGAATGGTTTTGACGTTGGATCGTCGGATTGATGCCAGGGATGGTCATCAGGAAGATAAGAGGCGAAGTACCTTACAAGGGAGTCCAGCGACTTGGTGCGGAAAAGTTGTAGAGCGTATTGCCACTGTTGAGTACCAATGAGGCTCGGGTTAGCGATGATCTCGACAGAGGCGGACTCTAGGCTCTGGTTCAGCTCGTTCAGCCGGAGCTGCTTGCGGTCAGCTAGCATACGGTGGAACTCATCGACTGTGCTTGCGGTATTGGAAATTTCGTAAACATCGTGGTGGAAAGCCTCAGGATCCTGAATAGAGAAGGCGATTGTGTTGTATCGATCATGGAGTCCGGTGAAGAGTTCGTCCCTCTTCATCCCAAACTTCCAGGCAGGCCATGACCATCCGGGATCGTCCATCCTCTGGCGGAGCGTGCGTTATCTCGTCAACCTCAGAGTCCCAATAGGGAAATGGGTATCAAGAGTCGGATTTTAATTCGACCGGGTAGATGTTATGCAGTAGGCGGTATTCTAGGTGGTATAAGGTGTCGGTGTCGGTGGTATTAGGGTAGTTACTGATGCGTTAGAAAGGAAATGGTAATAGTTGGTATAAGTACAATATTATTGAATTGGGTCACGATACAAAGGCTGCTGGAAGTGAACGAAGCCATTTAAACACAAGGTATGGAATCCATTTTAAAGAGAACAAAATCTAAATGTTGTCTTGTTTGACGTTTTGGGAGTGTTTTGCACCAGAGGATCGATTTCTCGCGGTATCGATGGGCTTTGTTGTGGTGTAGAGATATTCACTGCTGCGTGCCTTTGGCTAATCCACTGTGTCTTTGTTGAAATCGTAGCTGGGCGACGATGAGAAGGACAAAGTGGGAACTCACTTGGTACCATATCTTTAAATTAGGTGCCTTAATTGCCTCAGGCATCAAGCTTGGGGGCTAATTGTGTGCCGTTGGGGGCCACAAGGACACCGCGCCCGGACAACATTGGCTACATCGCCGTGATGAAAAGCCAATCAGAAGAAGTTTAGGTTTTACTCTATTTACACTTGGCCAATCAACCATTATATCCAGATAGACAAGTGGGGTATCATACCTCAGGGACCCACACGTGTGCTACACACGGACCACACCACCTTCCTTCTTTTCCGATCCTTTTTCTACCAGCTATCTCTTTCCATTTTGGTCTCTTTTCAATAAGCACGCAACGCAAAATAAGCAACATTGCAAAAATGTAAAATTTAACGGCAGTAAGAAGCGAAAGGCTCCAACGCTTCTAACACGAGGTGTCGAGATCGATCCTATATAATACCTGCAGCTGTTTCCATAAGACTCTTTCAAAATAGATTTCGAGGCTATAGTTCATTCTCTATATCCCTTGAATTGAAGCAGATGCACCGCTCAAACGATAGCGGTATGAAATCTCGAAAGCGATGAGCACAACAGGCAAAGAGGTCCTGTACTGACCAAGTACAAAGCGGTACTTCCAGTTTGAAGCAGGCTATGTCCGTTAGTCGGCGGTGAAATGATGGCTCAAGCTTACCTAGCCGCCCAGCCACTATGGTGTCATTTAGAATGTTTGAGAGTTGGGGGCAAAAAGGAAGCCGAAAAATCCCCCTCTCAATTCTCCGTTCTCCCCGTTCTCGCCGCCTTCGGTGCCTGTTATCGAATCACTTGACAGATCTAAGCCACCCACACCCCTCAATCCCCTAACGGGCTAATGAGACAGTGTCGATTCCGTGACTCCTATAGTCACTTGGAACCGTTCACGCAGCGGGCCGCGACTGTTACCTCCACTGTGCCTTATACGGTGTCACAGTCAAGAGCATGTCGAACATTCAGCCCTAGAAATCCGTAACATACCTCAAGAAGTTTATTCCTCCCCGGGTACCTCTGCTCCTTATATGAGTTGGTGAGCTACCTAATCTGATATGGCCCCCACTGTCTTGATGCCATTTGCCTTATTATATAAGGCGGACGCTTTACCGCGAACTAGCATCTCGTAGCAGGGGCATTAATAATAGGACATCTCTTCCCAGCCAGGTATAGTTCCGTGATTAGGAAGATAACCCAGGTAAGGTTGACTGACCCTAGGCAGCCGATCTGTCCCTAAAGACCCCAGAGCAAAAGGGCGGGATCAGCCGCACAGCATCTCATTTATCTCCAAAGCTTTCTTGAAAATGACATTATGACTCTCTACCAGGGCTTACCTGAGGTAGTTTTGATTGAGAGAATCCGGTCCTGAGGACAGTTCACCTGACGGTTCTCTCTTCGAGAATGCAGAGACACCCCAGTTTACTCTAAGTGCCCCAGAGAAGCTGGTCGTCGAAGCGCCTGTGTTGAGTTGCCCAATTTCTCTCGAAGGTTTATTTTCTTATTTTCTTCGACAATATCCAACCGCAAGTGAGCCAAGCAACAGTCCACGCCTATGCCATTGTATTTACCTAAATTTAAGCTCAAACCTTTCCTTTTCTTTTCTATACCGCGTATTCCTTTTCAAAGTCTCGCAATGGCGGAAGTCTTCCCCTCCGAGGAGAAGACGGAGCCGTTCACTCCGGAAGAGCTCCAACAAAGACTCCTCGGAAGCATCCAAGTCGACGAGGTCGAAGATGCGCACCAAGATACCGTACCCCTAGACGACCTAGTCGTCGAGGAAGACCATCATAAGCAAGGCATCCGTATCTTGGTACGGCCACTGACACGGAACCGCTCAGTGAGCCCCGGAAACGACAACATACAATGGCTGGCCTTGCGCGCCGAGGTGGCTGACCCTTCCCAGCCTATGTCCAAAGTACTCGCGGTGACTCAGACCTCTAAAGATATCAACTTCTCAATTAGAATACCGCAAGGCGATAATGAGAACAGACCGCCGATATGGTGCGAGCTGTACTATAATCCGGTCAGCGATAGCTTAATTTTGTGGAACAAGTCGGATGTGCCTATCGTCCTCGCTAGGATATCCCAACTAGGTCCTCCCGCCGGCGTAAACTCTGACCAGGAGCTCGTCCCGGGTAATACCAAGGACCTATCGCCAGGCACCTGGCGAATCAGCGTCTACACAATCCCCGTCCTTGACTTCAGGATACTAGAGAAACAACCTGCGACACGTCTACTCCCTCATGATGGCACTGACTCGTCCGGAATCTCGAGCTCAGATGTCGTGAATTCTTTTGGGAAGCGGTCCTTCCTATCCGATGCCGGCGACGGCGAGCCATACAGTCCAGTCGCCGGAAAGAAGGCTCGCAAGGAAGATGGTGAAGAGGAAGACGGCGTCATCATATTCATGGGCCCGGAGGATAAACAGCTCATGTTCCCTCTTCCAAACGCGGCCAGGGCGAAAGAGGTCGCCATACCCAACGGTCACGCTCTTCTGGAGATCCAGAAGGACGAGACAGCTTCCATCCCTGGCGGATGCGAGCTCGACGAGTACCAATTGACGAAGCGCGAGCAGATCGCTACGACTGGTGCATCGGCAGTGTTTACCGCAGAGCACTCCCACGTTTCGGAGGGTGTCATCACGGTTAAGGTGCTTAAGACTCGCAATCCTAACGCCTCGGATGCCCGGCCGCAGGAGACGCACCGTAATGTGATCCGTCAGGCGGATATCTGGCTACGCGAGTACCAGAGTCAGGAGGACCTGCGTCATGAATCTATCGTAAGGCTATACGGTGGCGACGCGCGGTACTTGTCACTATACATGGAGCACGTGGATGGCAAGGACCTCGCAGCCCGCGGCGTATGGCGGGACGGTGCCACCGATCTGTTCGTTGGTGGCCGCCACGATGCTGTGCGCATCCTGCGTGACATTGCTGGCGCTCTACATTACGTACACCAGAAGCGCAAGATCCACAACGATATCAAGCCAGCTAACATCCTGTACTCACGCGATCGCGGCGCCGTTCTTTGCGATTTCGGCTTGTCGACTCGCACTGTCGATCCGGCCACCAACGGCGGTACCCCCTACTATGTACCCCCCGAGTTTATTGGTCAAAAGCTACGTGGTCCCGAATCCGACGTATGGGCTCTTGGTGTCACCATGTTATACGTTCTACGCAAGATCCCCTTCCCAGATGCCCGAGGGCGACAAGGTCACCCGAAGCAGTTATACTGGATGATCGCAGACCTAAACCGGAAAGCCCCCCCTTTACCACATAATCATGGCCATGCAGGTAACAGGGCTACATCAGCCGTTCATCAGATGCAGCAGTGGCTTGGCGAGGTCAACGAGGCTAAGGCTCGCCTAAACCAGCGGGACCGCGTCGAGTTTTTAGTCCGACAGATGCTAACGCCTAATCCGAACCAACGCATCACTATGGAGAAGGTGATAAGCGAGTTACTAAAGGAGAACGCAGCCTCGAATAAGTGAGGGAGAGCGTACGCATAGATGAATAAGCAAGCGAATCGAATTAGTAGAGTAACCCTTTTTACCCGCCTGTCACAAGCCAGTTTGATCCGATCTATCACGATTTCATTTCAATCACAATGTTGCTTTACCCAGAGCTTCGTCATAAACGCGCGATATCGCTCCTACGTACTATTTATCCCTACGCTACTTAAGCCCGATATATCCTGGAGGAGATTCGGAGAGAAGGGTCGGCGCTACCGGAGGGCTTCACATCTCTACTAATCATGGTAACATATGATTTGACGAGATCAGGTCCGGCCTGGAAAACGGTTTACAGGTGTTGGTTTGGTTTGATAGAAATGTATAAGTCGTAGCAAGCTGTTGCGACGAATTGGGATTAATTTAGCGATTCGAAGCGCTTTACTTGCCAGTGCTAACAGTCGTAACGACAAGCTAGACGTCGACTGCTATTGCATCTATCACGTTAGATTAAGCCAAGAAAGTAAGTCGCAACACATATCCCTTTTTTATTAGTGCCATCGCATTCGCGCAATTTGCAAACTAACGTGACATTACATCGGTGTAGTCGTACCCATCCTCCAAGCTTCACGCTCAGGGGTGCTTTACATATTTATATGGCCAATAGGATCTTGCAAAAGCTCGTTATTGCATCTCGTCCAACTACCAATTTCCCTCGGAAGGCAAGGATCCCCTTTCATCAAACTGCACCGGTGGCAAAGACACAGGCTAGACCGAGCATAGCTGCCAGTACAATTCCTTCTACGGCTATTCCTGTCGCCGAATTATGGGTAGAGGTGGAGGACGGGCAAGCCGGCGTGGTTGATGAATTAGAGGCTGCAGCCGACGAATGACCAACGATGATGGCCGACATGCCCGTGTCGTTCTTGCACACGCCGGCCGGAACTTTTGCAGAAGATCGAAAGACGATGTCAGCACACTGGAGTGCTATTAGCTTGAGGTCATACTTTAGATTCGCACGTACGTCAGGTCAGCGTGCCTATATATAAGTCAAAGCACTCTTACGGGGGCTACCCTAGTGGGGGCTACCTCAAATTTTTAGACCTTTAAAATAAGCATTTTAACTTTAATTTAACATTATTTAATCAAATTAAATTTAATTAATTTACAATTTATTATATTTTAATAACGATATAGTTTTTTACTATTAATTTAATTGATAAGGCTTTATTTTCTAAATTGGTATTAGAATTATTGATTATAACTATATTATTTGATTTTTAGGCTTTTAATTGTTTTTTTTTTATAATAGCCTTAATATTTATAAATATTAAATTTAGGTTAGGTAATATCTTGTGCCGTTTTTGCAGCTTTATATTTATTAATATCTTTTTTAAATATTTAGCGCGGGCCTTTATTGTGGTTAATTTTATAGTAGTTTTATTAAAGACCTTATTAATTTTATTAAATAAAAGTTTTGTTGTAGGTTTAATAAACGTTATATTGATTTTAAATAATTTTTTAATTAAAATATTAATATTTTATAAATTTAAGGGCGTTATTAAAAGAATTGGGGTTATATTTTTAATAAAATTAAGTTTTTTTAGGTTAGAAATAAGGTTTAGGGGGGTTGGAATAATATCGAAAACCTCCCGAAGCATAAACTAATAATTTAATAATTTATTTTAATTTTTAGGATAGATTTTTGTAACCTTCCAACTAGTTAATATATTATATTTAATTAAACGTTTTTTTTATATTATTTAATAAGCCATAATAAATTTCCTTTTACCGAGATTAAAAATATAATATAATTAATATATTTTAATAAATTTATAATAATAATTTTATTTTATTAATAAAAATATACTTACGTTAATAACTTATAAAATATATAATAAATATACTAAGATAAAAATAACATAAACCTTATTTATAAAATATTCTTAAAAAAATTTTATCGTAATATAGTTATTGTAATTATTAAAAATTAATAATTACTATTATTAATAATTTAATGGCTTTATTTTTTTAAAAAATTTTTATAAAATCATTTAAATATAATATTATTATTAATTTAATTATTAAGAAACGTAATAAATTTTTAATTTTTAAATTTAACGTCTTTATTATTAAAAAATTATTATTATTATATATATTTATTTATATATATAATAAAGGAATTTAAAAATCGACTATTGCTATTAATACATTTAATAATTAACGTCTAAATTTTATTACCATAATTTTTAATTATAATATATTTTTTATAAACTTTGCCAATAACTATTCTATTATTTCCAACCTTTTTTATAATCTCCATTTTATTAGTATTATATATATATCTAACCGGGATATTCTTAATCTTAAAGGTTTCGAATTAGTTAAAAAAAATATTAATATTATTAATTATAACTTTATTAATTTATTTATAATTAATTAAATAAGTTTTAGTTAATTTAATATTAAAATAACAAAATAAAAATTGTATATACTAATATTTACCAAAAATATTAAGCCGGTAATTATAAGTTAATAATCTTCTTATAATATCTTTAAATTGATATAAAGAAAGTGTATAGTTAATATGGTTTAATATAACGGTTTAATTGGCTAATTTCTTTTTTTAATACTTTAATAGCTTTTAACGTTTTTTTAAATAATTATCTCGTATTTTATAACCTAATATTTGATCTGTAAAGTAGTATTGTAATATAAGATATTTTTTAAACGCCTACTGCAGGGATACGCTGTTGAAAACGTTATTTATCGCCACAACACAACGCAATTAAACTAAAAAAATAGGTATTTTAAAATCGTAAAAAAATAAAAATTTAAATAATAAATTTTATTTTTTAATTAATTAAAAATTAATAAAATTATATAATAATTTATATATAGACTTTATTGCGAATGCGTTGCATTTTTGAGGTAGCCCCCACTAGGGTGGCCCCCGTAAGGGTGTTTTAACTTACTACTTACGTTATACAATGCAGAACCAGAATCGCCACTGGTAACAACTTGAATGGTGGCATTGGTGCCGTCGCTAACCTTCATGGGGACGGAGAGCGACGGAAGACAGAATCCTCCTTGGCCAGTGACGTTCATCAGGTCAGGCGTGAAGGACATGTTGAAGTTAGTGACAGAAGAGCCAAGGCCGACGTTGACGAAGAGATAGGTCCAAGGATGATGGAGGGTAAGCTGGACAGCACCATCGGTGATGGGCCACTCGGTTCGGTTGCCGACACCGTCAGGAACGCCGCCGCCTACGTATCGGATTATTAGTTTTAAGCAAATCTTTGAAGAGAACATAGGTATTAATAACATTAGACGATGGGTACATACAGGGATACGTCCACTGGGAGTAGTTGAGAGCTTCATTGAAGGTGTCACTACGCCAGGCCGGGTAGTTGATCTTGAAATGTGCGGATGCTTTGTGAGCAAGCGCAAGGAAAAAGGTGATCAATGCGATGAACATCATGATGGAGGTAGGTTCGTGATGTTGGTGGCGAATTAGACAAGTGTTGAAGTCAACAGAAGGGTATACTTCGATTAGATGTAGACAAAGTGGTTAGGAGTTGAGAAGGGGGGGTGGGAGTGGAAGAGAGTGAGGGCGGTGATGCAAGTGGAAATATTCAATTGTGATTTAGAATTTGTTAGACTTTTTTTGTCTGAGGAAGGCAGGACCCAAGCTACCGGGTTCTCGTCTGCGTCAAGGTAGCTACCTACTGCCAGATGTATTCAATAGACTGGCAGGAGCGCTATCGTCTCGTGGGATAATCAGCTCAAACCCGCGATCTAGAACATGCATATACCACCTTAGGTTAGCGATGTATGTACCTTGTACCTACACTTGTACCTACAACCTTACCTACCTATGTAGGTACCTACATATATATTCACCTGGCTGCCTCTCGACTTCCATCACGTCTGCAAGAACTTAAGAGGTTACCTGCAGACTAACTGAGCAAGTTTCCAGTCAAACAAACTCCGTCTTTAGGCCGCACAAGCTTGGCATAAGGGAAGGCTACCTTAGGTAGCCACAAGGTACCTCACCTGCGTAATCTATGTATGTACTCATAAGTGTATGTATATCTAGTCGTACAATCTAGTTCCGGGATCCTGTTTCATGATCCCGTAATGATGAAGGATATATGAATGTAGGTAGAACAGAAGAGGACGAGCAAAATGATAGCTAAGACATCTTCAATCGATAATGTAAGTACTACATGCATTCGTTGAAAAGCAAATATTCATGATGGGCTTATGTTAAGGTCATATAATATACTCGAAATTGCTGATTGTATTATCTTGAAAACGCCGATGAATTCAAATTAATACCCGTCATTCACTATGTTGTATATTAACGCGCTGAATATTGTTAGCTACTTGATGTTATCCCCTCTCCTCAGTTTCGGGTATACAGTAACCTTCTCGAGAAACATACGAGGGACCTAGAAGATTTTATCACCCCATCTCCGAAGAAGCCAGGAGAAGGGGAAACGAGAGAATATACCATACTTCCCCATTAACACATCCACACATCGACACTTAAACAGTGTCGCTATAGTTGACTCAGAAACTACCCATGTACAAAACCTTACTTCTCCCACTCCCCATCTCCAAAGTACCTATCAGGCATATCGACATCCCACAGCGGCCTCTCCACCAACGCCACTTCAAGAACCTTTCGTGATTCTGGCCTCATCGCCTCATCGCCTGCCCCGTGTACGGATAGTTCCTCTCCTTCGCCAAATGGCACTATCCCTAAGATCGGCCTGTATTTATACGTATGCCAGAAAGCTAAGCTATTGCCCGGTTGCGACTCGGAGGCCGACTTTCCTTGGATGCCGCGTAAAAGCGCTAGCTCGCCTTGATTTTCGTCATCAGAATCATCGCTCTCACTCTCTTCTTCTCCTGGCTGGCTAACTTCGTCTTCGTCTTCGTCCATGGGATCAGACGCGGGCCCGTCGAGAGGGATTTCTTCGACTTCGCCGTCGATCCTGCGAATGATCTTCGTAGGCCCGGCGGCTCCAATTTCCGTCCTGCTACCAGCACCGCTGTCAGGTCCCCTCTTTCGCTTCGTTCCTTGCTTCACGAGTTCTCCGTTAGGCGATTCGTGGGACAGAACGGGCTCAGCTAGATCCTGAGATAAATCTAGCATGAAGAGAAACGTGTTGCCGTAAAGCCACACCCGTTCGCCCGACCAGAGAGCTCCCTTCACGAGATCGCGGATATTTCGAAACTCGGCCGGAAAGCGCGTAATCGGATTCCGTCTGGACCAGGGTGTTAGGGAGCCGAGAGTGGGGTTAATTACAAGTATTTGCGGTCTAGCGGTTATAGTAAGAAGTATATAATCATCTGTAGTGTCGTTGTCGTCTGATATAGAAGGGGTTGAGACTGGAACGTGATCAGAGTAAGATAGAACAGTAGGAGCGGCCTGCAGCTTAGGGATAAGAGGCCCCTTTGGGTTGCGGATCCATCGCGGGCCTTCCGCGTCGACTGCGGACTCTTCCTCATCCTCACTCCCGGATGCGGCCTCATCGTCGTGGGTTCCATTAACGCCGTTTTCAAGTTTCAGCCGTGTCGTATCCAGCACCCAGGTGTCTATATAACCAGCGAGGTCTGCAACGGCCAACATCTTGCTATCCGGAGAGAAGGCAATGTGAGTAACCGTTCTGTCGTATTGTCCTAGTCCGCCCAGAGCTGCATGCTTCTGTATCTTCCGCTCGATGCGTTGTAAGCGAATCGCTTTAGAGTGGAGCGACGGCCTACTGTCTGCTGCGGAATCGCGCAGGATCGACGAAACGAAAATTTTACTGCCGCCTTGAACAGAGCACAGCCACCGTCCATCCGGAGATATCTGAATTTGAGTCGCGCCTTGTTTAGAGAAATCCTCTTGCAGTTCGAGCTTGATAATCTTGAGCTCGTCCTTCTTGGACTCGCTTCGAGGCTTTAAATGGAACGCTTTGATATCGGAGGCTGTCGAGACTATCAGAAGGGACCCGTCAGAACTAATCGCCGCGGATGTGATGTTCGCCTCGCCCTTGACTAAGATGCGCGCCAGCAGCTTCCGATTCTTGTCCACGGCAGACTCCCCTTCCGGCGCGTCTACTAGATCTCGCAACGGTCTCCTCAGCCGCCAGACGTGAACCTCTCTCTCCCACCAGCTAACTATCAGCCTGCTCTTCGGTGCGCTCTGTAGCGGCGGACTCTGGGGTAGATGCGACAGAGTCCGATGATTCTCCATGCCGGCTTCTCTCAGGGGTAGCACGATCGGGCTGGCATCCGGTCCTGGGCCAAATTAGCAATGACGGTAGACTCAAATAGGATGCATGTACAAACCTCCCGAAACAATGATGCTCAGTCCATTTCCTTCGAACGAAGCCATCGTTTTGACGTCGTGATTATGGTATCTCCTGTGCCAGACCCTACTCCACCTTGCCGTCGCGCCTGAAGTCTTTCTGTAGAGGACGGTTCGACGGTCCATCCCACCACTGACGATTGTTGAGCCGTCGGCACTAATCGCCAAAGACAACACGTCTTGGTTGTGAGTCTGCAGCCTCTGCGCCTGGGTGTACGTCTTCCCGTCCCATATGCAGACCTGACCGGTCGAGTCGCCCGAGACGATGTCGCGCCCATTGAGACACTTGACGGACCAGACGATGATTTCCTTGGCACCACCGGAAAGGTCCGACCCTAGCGTCATCTTCCTCAATACGTTACCGTTGCGCATGTCATAGATTCGGATGGCGCTGTCCGAGCACCCTACCACCACTACGTTGCGGTTCTGAAAGGCGATACTGACCATCTTGGTCTTCTTGGAGGACGATCTTACTAATATCCTGTCGAATCGAAGATCATCTTCGTCGATCGAGTAGAGGACGAGACTTCCGTCCATAGTCCCAGCCACTAGCTTCTTCCCGCTCTGGACGACACCATTGGCAGACTTCTCGCCGTGCTTGACGGGAGCGAGGAAGGGTTGAGCCGCTAAGCACCATATATCGCCATGCATGCCGCTTGCCTGCTTCCTCGGCTGTCCCTTCTCCAGATCCCATTCGGTAACGGTGCTCGTGTAGCCAATGCTAAACAACCTCGACTTTCCGACGAGTTTGGTACCATCTTGGAGGAGCTGGTCGGGCTCGGTGACCCAGACGAGGCCATCGATGCTCCTATCCTTTCCTCCATGCAGGGTGGTTTCATGATGCCATATGCCATTTAAGGGATTCCATATCTCGATGTCGCCGTTCGCTCGACCGATCGCTAAGCGGACAGGTGCGCCTCTCTGGGATTTGGTGACCGTCGGGTAAGAGAATGCGACAGCATTAATAGCTGAGGGAGGATACGGCACAAAGCGACAGCGGTGGATATCCATTGTCGCAACGTGTCAATGCTAATTGATCCGTCGTTTCCTCTAAACCACCAAGCGCGATGTATGAAGAGAAGACGGTTAATCGTTAATGCAGTTAAGAGTTTAGCTATCAAGATGTCTCTGCGTTAACTTTTTTTTCTTATCGCCTTATCGCCTTATCGCCGGGTACTTAGACGTGCAGCTAGAACATTTTTAGTTCGTGCAGTTCGTAACGTGCATGCATTTAGATCTGCCCCGCCAATGTAGGTACGTACCTACCTTTTGAGCTTTCCCCCTTTTTCCTTCTACTATTCCCCCTTCTTTATACCATGGTCTTTTTATATCATGATACTTCCCCAACAACAACCTCATATAATTTTTTTATCTAACAGAACGAGCTCTCAAGGTATGGTTTAAAATTAATCACAAATAGTGTTCCAAAATTTAATAGACAATGTCACATTAGTATCGTTCTAGGCTTTACCCAACTTTGATAGAACCTTTTGTCATTTATACTTATATCCTTCCTTAACTAGTTATCTAAGTGCTTGAGTTTTGAAGTAAGTATCGTATTGGTAATATATAAAGTTTGGAATGCTGTTGCGGAAGTCCCCCAGCATCGTGTAACTCAAGAGACAACAACCGCGAATGGACAATTCTACTTGAACTCCCACAACTATTACTACTACTCTCCTAAAAATTAGCACCGGGGTTTCTCGAAGGAATTATAATAGATAAATAAATTGTTACCAATTTTAAGATTATTAAAGTCTCATAAATTATTTTCAAGTAGTTGACTAGCTACCTAGGTTAGGTATCTAATATACCGGTCTAGGGTTTCTTCGAAACTAACCTAAATGACTGAATATGACCTAAGAAATACAAAAAGCATCTCTCGACCACGCAATATGTTCTATGTTCTAGCATTAAATATCATATCCTGGATGATTAGCCGAATATTTTCGTCACTTTCAGCCTCGGCCGACGGGAAGTTGGCTTGAAAATAGGCTTGCTGGGTTCGCTCATTTACAGCCCGGTAAGCCAGTTGCTCGAGAGCTGCTAGAGAAGGTCGGTCCGGTGGATTCCACGCTGTGCAAGTCAACACCACTCTGAGCAAGATTGGGTCTATATGACTGAAGTCTTCATTGTCAGGATCATCTGGACACATAAATCCCGCGGCCACTTTGATTGGTGGCTGGTTATTTCCAGCCGAGAGGAATCCCGTATACATATCATTACCACCATCCACTACAAGTGCTACCGAGTCGCTATCTAGTGATATTAGTAGGCACATGAGCTGTCATCTGATTAGACTATCTTCTAGGTAATAACAAGCGAGAAAAAAAGGGGAAGACGAAACAAGGGTAACTTACAACGCCTATCTCAAATATATTCTGTCTTTCTCCTCTCCAAGCATGGTCACTAATCATCGGTTAGATATTGCCAAGTTTGATATCGAAACTCATCAACTCCTGTGGACAGTTAACTTACTCATCGTCTGGAAAATCAGACATATTTCCAAAGTCGATCAGCTTCATGACTGGGGTTAGAGCATGCTCGATGCCGCCGTTTGGTAATAGAGGACCAAACATGACTAGTTAAGTAGGTATACGTTAGCATCATAGATTAAAAAAATTAGGAATCGAACATACCATTCTCATCATGCATATCGCCGTGCTCTGTCTTCCTAGGACGACGACCCGGTCTGACACGCTCGGTTACGACCCCGTTTGGCCCTTCATGTGGTGGGTATGCCATGGCAATACATGCGCGTATTACTGCGGTAATAGTCATTAGTCGGTGTATATACACAATAGCATGTCAACGGTTTAACTTACAGCATAGGAATAATCTCCATAACAATCTATTCGGGAGCGGCTCGTCTAATATTTCGGAGACATTTGTTACAAAATCGCGCAAGGTCCCACTAGTGTAGAATATTAAATTAGCCATGTCTCTTTGATGGGAAACCTTGAAAATGTGTAATTGGTATCTCACGATGCCGGAATATCCCAGGTACTTACTTTTCTAAGTATTCCATTAAAACCCATCCCGCGAGGCCGTGGGCTTCGACGCCTTCGAATCTTGTAGCCAGAGGGTCGTGAGGTGGTTCTATAAGGTTTACAATGTGTCTGGCCTTTTGCATCATCTGTGATTATGTGAGCTTGTTATCACGTAGTGGTCGACGTAGGACTAGTTATAACGAACCTTAAGAGCATTGCGCTCGTTAACGAGCTGATGAGCGGAGGGGTCAAAAGTATATGGGATCCGGCCGTCCACCTCGGCATTATAATCAATGTCCTCATTAGCATTATTGTTCTCACTGCCTTCATTTCCGCCATTGCCTTCATCTTCGCCATCGTCATTGAAGTCGTCGACGTTGGTCATAGGTGTATCTCCTTCGTAATCGCTTTGAGACGGCAGTTCCTCATCTCGAGGGCGCTCCACTTTCAGTACTAAACGCCTTGTTTGTGTTTGTCCTTGTATTTGTTCCTCATACTTAATTTTCCATGCTACTCCGCTCATTCCGGCCCCTATCGCCCTTTCGAGTTCGAATCGTTGTTCCGGGTCGCGTGAGAAATACGATCTCAGAAGGTTTTCTGTTTGAGCAACATCTCCGCTATGTAGACTGAATACAAGTTAGCGACTCTTCTACGTCACGCCGTGGGTAAGATAGCACACATGATAGCAAGGCAATACATACGTCATCTTCACTATATTCTCCTTTTCTTTTCGGATATATGTTGATTGGATGTGAAGGGGAAATTCAATATGCTCACTAACCTAGTAATTTAAGTCATCAGGCTATCGATTTCTATTTTATAAACACGACTGATAAAGAAGATCCTTAAGGGGAGGGCGTTGGACTTTAGGTACTTTCATACCTACGACGTCTCAAAGAAAGAAACCATTGTAACTATTTGAACTATTTATTGTTCTATCAATTAGACATTGTTTTCATGGTTCTGCAACAATCTATTATATGATGCTTTAGTATGGGACAAGATGTCCAAACACCAGAAGCTATTCCATTATCCCTTTCTATATACCTATCTCGCAGTAAGTCCAAGGTCATGGGGGCGTGAAACAGATACTACACGACCCCAAAACTGACATCTAGAATGTGTATGGCAATTTGTAGTAGTTTTCGTTACTTTGAATATTTTATTCATTTTGGTGATGCATTTGAAAGAGGCTCTAGGCTAAAAAAGGGACCCTGCTAGTAAAATAATAGCTATCGGAAAGCTTGGTCGCGTTGTAATGGAGAAAGCCGCCTCCGATCTGTCCGATCTCGTCGTGTACACGAAGCAAAACATCTGCGACAACACCTTGGACGATGCGCAGCTCGCAACCTGATGCCCGTTGGACAATGGGAAACTCGCCGACACGTCCATCCCCGCGCGCTATTCCCTTCATGAAATGCCCCTTTACTTTGAACTACCTACGTCACACTAAAAGCATATAATTATCACACATCTTTAGGAAGATTTATGTTGTCTTGGTATTGCTTTTGAAAGACCACTGTTCCTTAATGGACTCCTTTCAGAGATACTCGTAGACTTACCTGGTACTTATAACTCTACCGATCCCGTATTCTGATATTCCAGACAGCTTCCCACCGGCGTAGCGCGTGCTACCTGAGGGCTATGCCATTTGGCTTGATTCTTACTCTGTATGCCGGGACTATTTTAAGAAATCGAGTACTTGCTCATCAATCAAATCGCCCACCGGTGGGCTGTGCCTCCTTCTTTTTGTAACATTTAACACCCATATTGGCTGTTTGTGTTGGCTAGGTCATGTTGTGCACCTTGAGTGAGACATTAGACAACCTAGCTGCCTAGTTGGGTGCTGGAATGATGGATTGATTGGTTACCAAGCGGCTACTAACCAGCATGCGGCCCTATGCCCGCTTTAAGCTGATCACTCTACGTACCGCACACTTTCCTACTTACACCCCAAATCCGTGTAGTTGTTGGCATACGTTTGTTTGCACCCAAGACACATTTCTATATAAATTACGATTGTCTACAGTCTCGCACCTTCGCCATGGCTGCCCTTGAACCAAAAAACTCTAACGTTGAGCTACTTTCCTGTCTCGTCAACGAGGAAGACACGGGTGATAGCAATTACCGGTTCCTGGTCGACAGGCAAACGGTCAAATATGTAAACACGGCGCCAGGGGTGTTTTGCGGAGCGGAGGACGACCGTACTTTTGGACCAATTCTACTTAGCAAGCTCCTTCCCCCATTCCCCGCAGGGAATTGGAACAAAGGCCATGTGGCCAAAGACGCCCAGACAAAACAGACTGTCTTTGTCAGGACGGAGACGGTGCAGCTCTCCGGAGTAGAGAGCCTCTGGCATCCTACAAAGCTAGACGCGCTGGAATTTAGGCAACAAGAGCGGCTGAGGCAGCGAGTCCACGTCTCGACGCACCCGGAACTCGGCGGCGACGGCGCGCCCGTGCTAGTCAAACTTGCCATCTGGCCCTGGGAGATCCCCTTTATGGAGACTGAGACAGCTATTTATCGACAAATCGACAGTAAAGGCATTGGCCCCAGGTTCCTTGGCCATCTAACCGAGGGCAGAGACGGGCGCGTCATCGGCTTTGCTGTTGAGTGGGTGAAGGATGCGAGGGCCGCGGGACCAGAGGATCTCGGCCGCTGTAGGGAAGTGTTGCGCCGACTCCACGAGCTCGGGATCAAGTCTGGGGACACCAACAAGTACAACTTTCTCGTCCGCTACGGGCACGACGATGTCGTCTTGGTGGACTTTGAGATGGCGAAACAGAACTGCTCGCCTCAGGAGCTGGAAGAGGAGATGGGCACCCTCGAGAGCAGTCTGGCAGACGTGAGTTTCCGAGGCGGCGTAAAGCCAATTCATGGGTGAAATAGGGGCAGCATCAACCGGGATTTGATGGGTCGTGATCACATATGTATTATACTGGTTGCTTGACGTATTATTGCCGTCTGTTGTTGTGCCGGCCCACACCGTGCCCCTTTCGTATTTAGTCTGTTAGTTTCTGTATTGATTATGTCTTATACATAGAGCAAGGGGTTTAGTATATCTAACCCATCAATAACTTCAGTTAGTACAAACATAGTCTATATCTATAATAGGAAGGTTGCTCCGAGGCAGCACTCAAATTTCTATACATTTGGATGCGGACAATTCGTATTGGTTGCAGTAATAAGCAAAGGAAGTAATTATTGACAGCCACGTCATATCAGCTCACGACTTACAAACTAATAAGGAAATTGACAGGGAAGAGAGCGTCCTCTTGACTCCTCATTGGACTACTAGGAAGCAGGCTCTACTACAAAATATGAGTATTATTGGCCGCCTCACAATTTTGAGTATACTAGCATATCACCCCTCCGAGTCCTATCCGTATGAGCCAATGTTATATGCCTATATAGTCTTTACGAGCCGAGGGGAGAAAAGTTCGGCATGCTCGTGTGCAAATAGTTATATGCTTTGGGGCAGATCTATGGCCTAAGCTCTCCGCACCTCGAAACACCAGCCAATCAACAGACGTGCTACTTCTTATCGTCCATATTTCCCATATACGCCGGGCGAGCGTGAGACTAAGCTATCTCATATTAGTAGAATTCTGTTTTGCAACCCCATTGTTCACTTCTATTTTTAAACAAAAAAAAGAAAGACACGGAAATTAGGAAATCTAAGTGAATTATGGCGGACTCTGGTTCAATATGGAAAATTCCCCAACGGCCCAGACACCATCTGTGCAGCACTTGCAAAAAGTTAGATTTAGAAAGGAGGTTCAGCAACGAAATACAAGAACAGATGATCGGTAATTTTTCCGAGTATAAAGATCTTGGCTGCCCGTTTTGCATTCTTGTTTCCAGGGCTATCGAACGTGCGTGGGGAATTGACTCAAGCTCTGCGAAGGTTTCGTGTCGGCTCTTCATCCAGAGTCGAAGTCCATTATCCGTCAAGGAAAACGGTCATATTCACCATCCCCAACCCAGGCTGCTACTCGCGACTGATAAGAAGCCACCAGAGTTTCATAATAATAATAGAATTCCGCTTAGACAAATAGATCGGGTAAAAAACCGGTTTATAATCGCCGAGATCGAACGTTTCCCGAGCGAATCGGAGCCGAACCACCTCCCTCGGCTAGAAGTTGGAACCCGGCTCAACATCGCGCTTCTAAAAAATTGGCTGAAGGAATGTAAGAAGCACGAGCATTCAAAGCTAGCCATAGAACGAGGAAGCAGGGATTTATTCCAGTCTCAACATCCCTTCCGTCTCATCGATGTTAATCAAGAGTGTCTAGTGCAGAAGGATACGAGATGCGACTATGTGGCACTATCTTATGTCTGGGGTCGACACCCGACTCTCCAATTCCCTGGCAAAAACGAACAAGAGGTGCCAATCCTCCTTAGTCTTCAAGATAATGTGAAAGGGCTGAGTATTCCTATGGGATTATCCAAGTTGAGGCCAGAGACACGGAAAACCGGAAGGATACCCCGGACAATCCGCGACGCTATGGAATTTACTCGACGGATGGAGATGAGATACTTGTGGGTTGACACATTGTGCATTGTACAGGACGACCTAGAAGACAAGGCACGATTGATAGGGCGAATGGACGATGTCTATGATTGTGCCACTGTAACCATAATCGCCGCGGCAGGCTGCGACGCGGATGCTGGGTTAAGGGGGGTTAGTCTACGGGCAGGTCACCCTCTCGAGCCAACGAAGATTATTGACGCATCAGATGGATCCGTTCTTAATATTTCAACTTGCTTACGGTCCCTATGTGAGGAAGTGCGAAGTGCGACTTGGAATACGCGAGGCTGGGTTTTTCAGGAACAGTCGCTATCGCAGCGCTGTCTTTACTTCACTGCCGAGGAAGTCTTTTTCAACTGTCGCGAAGCGCAGTGGAGAGAAGGGTACGACTACGCACCAAAAAGGAATGCGCATGTCCATATCGATGTGAGGACAGGGCCGCCGTGGTGGACGAGAAATCTCAGGAAAGATCTCGATCCAACACCATACCACTATTTCGGGGATGTAGGTGGAAAACTAGATATCCAGGCTTTTCAAACAGCAGTCCAGGAATACAGCCGAAAGAACCTCACATACGCTCATGACATACTTAACGCATTTGAAGGTATATTCAATAGGTTCAACAGGCATAGAGATGCCTTGGGATTAAGTATTCGTCAAGCACAGGGGATACCTCCTCATTTATTATACCAGGCAATCCTCTGGTTTCCCTATGGCCAGCCTGAGAAGCGGCCATGTCAATCCGAACAGGGAGTTGACCGATTTTCAACTTGGTCGTGGTATGTGACCCTCTTGGCCTGATTTAACTAAAATTCGGTCAGAATCAATGTTATAATGCTGATCATATAGCTACAGGGTGTATTGGACGGGTCCCGTTGAGTTTACCTTTGCCGATAGCCTTTGGTTATCTCGAAACATTTCTCAAGCCCCTATCAAGCGAGTGCCTATCTATGTTCCTATTATATGCTGGTATTACGGAGGCTCTAAAAAGCAGTTCTGGACCAGAGATGTCTGGAAGACTATCTGCGAAACCCAGAATTATGCAACCATAAAGACCCCTGAAGAATTTAGACGCACGAAACACTATCTCAGCCGCATTGGGATGGATACCGATGTATTATTAGACTGGTCGCGTAACACACAGTCGCCCGATCTTAACTGCGGCGAGCTTGGATTTGTTGCGCCTTATTTGAACGCGGGGCAGTTTGAGGTAACGACTACGAAAGACGAGCATATCAGGATTCTAAAAGTGTCTTCGCATCAAGGTCAGTTTAGGTTTGATGGTAGAGTTGAGGCAATTGACGAACTTGTCGTCATTGTTGCTGCCAATACTATTACCAAGCCGCCCGACACACAATCGATTCTATTAGGTCTGACTACGCGGGATGGTGTTTCGAGGAGAGTGGGCATCGGGTATATATACTACTCCAGGGATGCAGATTTCATTAAACCGCAGTGGAATTATAAACTCTTTAGGGTCCAGTAAGTGTTGCTATGCCTCTCTTGATAGAGTAGAAATAAAGACATTATAATATATGGGGATTTAGAAGAATTAACACTTAGTGAAGCTTTGATTCTTGTTTAGTTTAATCAATGTACAGCAGTAACGTACCCAGTAATTATTGTATATGATCCTTGATCTTTGACGATGGCTCGGCAATATAGTATTGTGAGTCGGGTGTTAGAGTTACCCCTTGATGATTTATTCGAGTGTTAATATGTACCTCTTAAAGTACCTATTACGAAATAGTATATTTGCCCGATCATTGAATAACCACTATTATAAATACGCCACCATAAGTCTACGCGACGACTATTGAGGGTTGACTCCAATACCGGTCTCACTCTTCAACAAACTCAATACATAGTTGCTTATTAGCACTAAAATAAAGTCATACCCATTGTAGCTACGTCGCTTATTGTATCTTACGAATCTTATATATTATGACTCAAGAGGTATCTTCGTTCGCTGTCTGAGTAACTCAACATCACCTCCGCACCTATTGGTTCAATATTAGCGAGATTTAACGACGCTCTAAGCCACCACAGGATATTATACGGTCGGTATAGGTATATTCAATTTATCTATATATTGCCAATTGTTGCTTTGTGTGAAACTCAACCCTCTTGCACCGAACTAAGAAACCTGAACCATACCCCTGAGCACAGATACTTTACAATTCATCATCGTTATTATACATAACTTGTCATGGACGTTTTCCACTCCGAGACTTTTCGTACAGTATTAAGGAAGAACCCAAAGTCTTTCCTTCCTTACAAGGTACCTAAGTACCTAATGTACCTATCTCAGATACATATTTTGTACCCCGTCGTTGCCATGGCAGGCGGCATTATAAGGCAGTAGAGTATAACGTTATCCAAGTAACTCATTCTAGTTCTTTCCTATTTCTTCTTAAGCCAAATTCTTCGATGGATTTTCAACCCTAACCAAACCAAACACACAACATTACATTCAATCCTCCTCCCTTATTTAATGCCAAGTCCTCGTCTTCTTCAACACCAACAAGGATATTTCTAACCCAATATGAATTCACCTATCGCAACCAACTACCCTTCACCAAAGACTATCATCTCGGTTTGAGTACACAAAATCTATTAGTCAGAGCCTATCGCCATGATACCTATTGATAACAAACCTCTAAGCATACTACAAAGCTTGGTAAACATGATTTCACAAGCACGTCCTGCAAGAGATATACGACAGATTTAAACGTCAGGCCACGGGCTCCAAGGGAAAGCAGCCAACCAAATAATTGCGACGACATTTTCTCATGTATGGATATGCCAAGAAGAACGACGATGCTAAGAAATGGTCGCTGCTGCAATGGCGCAGAACAACAAAAGCCTATTTATCCTACACTAGCGTTACGGCCAACCATTTATATTTTAGTATGCAGCTGCCGTGGGATGACGCGGAGAAACAGCAAAAGGAAGCAGTCGTATTCCATTTCATCCAGTTTACGTCCGACCAAGAACTTCGCAGCAACCTGTTCAACAGAGTCGCCCTCTGATTTAGCGCTTCCAGCCCTTATCGGCTTGTAGTCGAGTATGAGGATCGCATTCATGATGATATTATTATATTGCATTAAATGGGAGCATATAAGATAGGGCAAAACTATAACGAACATGCTCATCTGATATCCAGCGCTTGGCTTTAGCCATGAATATCATGGTTAACACTCCAGATAAGGACTACAAGCATGAACAACTGAGAGAAGCCATCCAAACCCTCGACAACACGAAGCGTAAGAAAGCATCGGTGACGCAGTTAACCAATCCGTTTGCGAAATCTGCACACAAGCCTCCTGTAAAGAAATTTAGAAGTTACGAGACGAAGATCGATAAAAACAAGATGGAGGACGCGAAGATGCAGATAGTGCCCCTGCGACAGATAGCCACACTATTGCAGACTACCAAGAAGAAACAGTTGCGAATCTTCGTACGATAACATGGAGAAATGTGAGGAGGATAATAATGATGATTACAAGATGAGATGACACGCAAGGCTTTGCAGTGATTTAGATATGGTACGCCAATAAATTCATTAAGGAATAAAAGTAATAATGAGGACATCATTCTTTTTCTTTTCGAAGGGCAATTGATAGGCAATTGGATAACTAATCCAATGATCAATCATCGCATAAATCGAGAAGACAGGTAGACGAGAAACATGCTGAAAGTTAATTTTCTTTCATTGGTCCATGCAATGTTATATCTATTCTTTCTAACTCATAGCTTACATTTTTGGTGTATTATGTTAGTATGTAGAAGCATCATGTCATTAGCCTCGGCTAACCCCCCCCCCCCCCCCTTTTTCTTTTTTTTTTTTTTTTTTTTAGCAATTACCTAACTATCAACTGAGTAAAGCTTTATAGTCTGGATAACTATATGTAGCAATCTTTAAATGTTGTAATGTAACCTAGTGTCCACTTTAGCCTAAGTACACAAATACGAGTGGCTTGTCAAGTCCGAAAGACAACTCGATAGATCTAGTCTTTGTGCGATTGTAATTAGTAACACTTCTGTATTGCACAGCCTAGTCTTGGCGATGGAGTCCTCTTTTGCTTCGTTACAAACACACCGACCTAGATGCTTGAACAACACAAGTCTTGGCTACCTGCTTACATACCTACCTAGGTAGATATGTTCGAACATATATCTTAGCTAGAGTAGCGTGAGATCGAGAGCCAATTCAATAGCAGCACGTTACTATGTTACGTAAAGCAGACAATCAATCGAATATCACCATCGCATGTCTCAAATAACACAGGCGTATGTAATATCAAAGTGCACCAGCGGCAGAGTCTATTCTGGACCAAGACTATGCTTTAAACAGCACATATGCAAATTACGACATGGCTACTCAGCCGATGAAAAAGGTCAGCAGGACATCTCCCGCTCGGATTTCATCTACTCGTCCTTTGCTAGGTTCCGCAGCCCCTTTTCATAGTACATACGATTTCCACCCCCCCCCCCCCCCAACTCCGGGCGTGACCATTATCGTTCGTCAACCCGTTTCCATCCAGCCCATTCATGCAGTTATATAACCTGAACGCCGGGTCGAGGAGAAGCCCGTGTTCTCCTCACCATTCTCCTCCCGAGTAAAAAAGCAGAAAAAAAATGTATAATGCTACCCAGCCCAAATAGGTCCGTTGCGCCAGTGATTTTATTCCAGAATGCCTATGACGATGCGGGCCACAAACGAGAACGACATATTCTGGCGTCGTTATAGTAGGATGCGTAGATAGGTACAGGCCGCAGGAATACAGGGTAGGCTGTACTTCGACTGCGGTAGAAGTGATATTAGACAAATGAGAATCGGTAATACGCTAGTCATCGTATTCTAGGTGGGCGAAGGGAGGTAAATTTAACCGGTTTAGATGCTGTATGTTGGGGTATATATTTCGGGTTCTCTAATTATTAGGCGGCATGCGTGGCGTTAATGATCGATAATGATAAAATCAGTATTTTTCTAGAGTGCGTTATCTTCGATGTGGATCTCTCGGATCCTGAAATTGTTGGTTGCGCCGACCGTTCTCTCCGCGAGCAGCAACCCATTCAGAATTACCACTCTGCCGGGTGGGCTGTTCGGCAGGCAGCTTTTGATCATCGCTACCAGAAGGAGAGACAGAAGGCCGACTTGTAGAGCCAGACGGAGAGCTCGGTGAGCCGGGAACCATTCGCGTAACTGCCTGCGTGATCGAAGCGACTACGTAGCCTCGAAGCTCGCGATCCTCTCTCGAGTCTTCCTTCTCTAATCGGAATCGCTCCTCCTTGCTCATGTTGGCGCGTCGGATGGTCTTGATTTCCTGCATGATATAGAGCATTACCTCTTCGGGGCACTTGTTCCTCTCGAGCGCGTGCTCACTTTTGCGCACATATCTGCGGGTGACATCGGTTGCACCGTCTGCGCTGAAGGCAATGCAGTACGACATCTGCTTACCCCAACCTTCGGTATAGAGGCGTGGGTTATCCCACGCTTCTTCGCACGCGTCAACGTGGATCCATCGCTGTTTATGTTCCGAATAAACCTCGGTCCATACATGGTCTTCGGCGTTCCATACCCAGCGCACGCGGCCGCCAACGGCCCGACACAGCATGCTGAAGCAGTTAGCCCACTCACCGCATCGGCCCCGTCTCGTCTGCAACAGCCGCCAGACGTCGCTGTACCGCGGGAATCGCTCGTATGCTCTGCACGCCTGGTTGGAACATTCGTATAGCTCTACCCGCAATGCACCAAAGGCGTTTTCCTCTGGCGTCGGCTGCGTCATGCCCTTTGCGACGGTTGGCGAGAAGCATACGGGGCACGGCGGGTTGTTGACCCATGTAAAGAATGTTCTCTTGAACCATCTGCAATCGAAGCGGGTTAGGAAGTCAATTCTTAGTAGAACTGGGGGAATTGAGTTGAGAGGTCGGCTCACCTTAATAGTGCTCGAATCACGCAATCTTGGTATCCCCATTCTGGCTTGCGACCGTCACCCATACTTTCCGCCTGCGCCTGCAATACCTGAGACTCCTCTTCAGCTTCGCCGTATATCCTATCCAGAGGAATTGCCTGAAGCGCCTCGTCGAGCAGACCGGGGTTCTCATACTTCGTCGGCGTCTGCGACAGCGATAGGATCAGACTACGAAATTTCTGCGACTCCTTGTCGTGCGGCGACGGCGGAGTTGGAATCTTGGGTAGGTTACGCAAGGAAGAGTACGAAGGTGGTAACGCGGGAGAGCTGCGGCCATGGCTTGGGCCGTAAGAAGAAGAAGGTCTACTATTACTACCGGAGGGCGTCGCCGGTGCTCGGAGGTTTGATGACGATGCTCTTTCTCGGGGATTTGGTGAGTCTAGGCGTGATCGATTCGCTCGCGACTGCTCAATTTCGGTTAATCGCTTTGTTCTTAGCAGCTGTTCGAATTGGATTCGCAGATCCCGAGCCCAATCCTCTCCGTAGTCGCCCTGACCGCTGCCAGAGCCATCACTACGACTAGCCATGATGTTACTGCCTAATTATCGAACCGTTCTCCGGTTCGAGTTCGGAATGGCAAGGTATTCTATAGCGTAGAATTCCTGGAAAATAGCCCGACTACTTGTCGGTTGGGATAATACTTGCTAAAGATATTAAACTCGAGCCTAGAACTAGGCGGACTCGAGATTACGCGGAGCGAGACGATAGACTTCGTCAGCTGGAGGATTACTGATGATGTGGACTCGGCCACTCCCTCCGAGAAGTCAATCGCCACCGGTTAGCAAGGGCCCGCTTCGTCGAACAAGACAAATCGGTCGTGGACAGTCAATTAATCCCCCATAATCATCGATCGCTGCATTCGTGTGTCGTTGCCTCTATGCGTCGTACCGTAGCGTATACTCCTCGTCTATTTCTTATTTAGGAAATCCTACAGAGATATGTGTCCCCTCAACGTCGCGCAGTAGAAGAAACGAGCGGGCGATAGAATCGGTCAGTGTCGTCTGCCTGGGAGGAAAGGAAGCGACGAGATTCCAACGAAGAGGCGTAATGGCGTAGAGGGAATGTGTGAAATAGACAACGATGAGCAATGAGGAATAAGCAACGAGGCGGAAAAGCGGGAGAAGGGACGGATGGGTGAATATGGATTATTAGATAAGGTATGTATGTATGTTGTAAATGAGGTAAGGTAATCCAGGTAGTGTAGGGGGAAGACCTAGAAGATGGGGAATTATGAATTTATTCAGTGTAACATTCGTAAGTTAGGAGGAGTGTAAAGTGGTTAATGGTGGGGGGCGTGTGGGTGTGTATTTCTTTTGCAGGGAGGGAAAAGCCGACGACGCAGCGCAAGCGGACAAGTCGCTACAAAAAAAAAAAAAGTGACAAGAAAAGCGATAGGCAGCATACATAAAAATCCAGGCAATGCACCAAGTTAGTAGGTTGTAAGTGCCAATGTAAGTGCATGCGTACTTCCATGCGGTACTATGCGTACTTGGATGCGCAACTCATAGTCCGGATAGGGATGGTTTTAGGACACATGTGGTAAGAAATGGGCTTGGGCTTGCTAAAGATGGGTAAGAAACGGGTATGGAAAAAGAGGGAAAACCCCATGGCAAGATGGGCAGGGTTTGCGTAGGCTGCGTAGGCCTTCTCCGCCTGCTGTTGTCTAGGACTCGCGTAATTGGCCGGTACTCGCACTAATTACAGTGCGCGGCACTAGATTGAGCTTCATCGGTACTGTACTTCGCAGCAGAAAGCGCACTAGGGCGCAGAAGAGAAAGCGTGAACGCGCGTCTCCCACGAACCTTTAACCAATCATTTAACATGTACTCGGCCTTAGGGACCTTAAGGAGTGGGGTCACGACGACTACACTTTAAGACGGTGTTTCTTCTTCATCTTCCATCGACACCATCTGGACCCCTTATTTTTTGGAGTCGAGATTTCTTTCTCTTACGCATGCATACATCCACCTAGTTATATATCTTCTACGTAACGCACGAAATCTCTAATAAATTTTTATATTTAACGTAGAAACGAATGGTCAGGTACGTATTGTACCAGAGCCAGAACATTTAAATCTGGGTACATACATGATACATCATCTAAGTACATATACATGCGTACATCAATGTAACCGAAGTCTTGGAACGAACTCGACGATTGGACTAAATTATAGTTCCGGTCTACATCCGAGTTTCTGTACCTTTTGGTGGAGGCGATGACGAGGCGTAGCTTTTTTTATAGTGGCTGAAAAAAGTCTAATGAGAAAGTCTGCCACAGGCGTTTCTCGTTTCGCCCGAACCACTGTGCCACCTTCGGCTTTTCTGGTTACATTTGCTATTCTAGCAGCATTGACGATACGATCCTCTTCACTTATGACTTATGATGTAGGCCTGCTTAATAGCAATGTGCCTATGTATGTAATTGTCGGTATGCAAACTCTACCTATGCTTCAACGTGTTCTCCCTTCTATAGCAGACATGACCTTTACGGTTCGGTCTTGACCCTGTTACCGGACGCAGTTGTAAACTGGTCCGTCCAATTACTGATATAGGCGTATATTGGTAAGTATGTTGGTAAGGATGTCGGTAGGTAACTGACCTTAGTAATGGTAATGTATGTTCGGGTTCGATGCCCGGTTACATTTCGACGAATAGCATCAATACACCACCAATATCAATGTCATAACTACGAGTCTCATCACAATTCCCACTTCTCTTTCAGCCTCATCCTCGAGCAGAGGTCCTTTCATGCTCGCGGCTGATACCTAACACGTACACAAGACATTAAACATATAACCAAGCCAACCGACCTTTCGGTAACCCGGGAGGATCCAACTCCACGGCACCACAGATAAACTTGTCGGTCAACACGGCGGTAAGCTTAAATCTGCCTACTATCACTCGACAATTCTCCGGGCCGATTGTACGAATGAGTTGTACGTGGTCAGCAATCCCACGTGTCGCACCGTATGCAGTTCAACGCGCGGTGCGTCACCTAACCCTTTCCCAGTGCCGGTCTTCTCACACGGACCATCAGCTATAGAAGCCTCAAAGTGATTGGTCAGTTGCTCTCATCGGAGTCCAAATATAGTTATCTCGGATTACCTGAGAGATTGCTTCGACAATTCAACTTCTTACTAACTACCTCCTAACCTAACTGATGAGAGATTAAAGAAACAAGAAAAAAAAAACCTGATCGCTTTCAATTACCTCAACCCTCGTCTCATGACTATTTCCAGATGTCCTTCTCAGGTTGTAGCATAATTACATCTCATATCTCATATCCCATATCTCAATCCCATCAAAAGTTGTTATGGATCACGTGAAGATTACGGCCCCCATGGCGTGGTCTTAGTTAGACCCTCCTTTTAGTGTCGAGGCTGCTTGCGCGTCCTCCTCCCCTTCAGGAGACTTGCGTGTTTCTAGCCAATAGCAACATTGCCACCTCTTTCAAATGTCGAATCCCACCGCTCCTATATGATGATTTGCTAAGCTAATCGACCTCTCATTCTGGGTCATGCTACGTTGCTTGCTTCGGCTCTTTACATATCGTCTAAAATTCGAGGCTTGGCGGTCCTTCTAATTCTAAAATATGCGGCTGACTGACTGCTATGGATTGCCACGAATACTACGTCTAGGTTACTGGTTTATAGTATGTAACATTATCGACCCGATCAAATCCATCCCGCACCATTGAGTAAATTTACTTCGTCGCTATACCCAAAACATGACGAGACGGGAATATCCTTCGCGTCGAGGATATCAGGTGAAAACCGCGTCATAATAGATGTTACGCTGCTACGTATCGAGAATATTGACTGGTCAGATATTTTCCCGGTAGCAAAGTATGTTTCATCTTCGGCTTGATCCGACCCAAGACACTCGTTCCCTATGGGGGTCGTCATCCGGGTGGATTTATTCGGATGGTCCAAGGTTCCGAAGCCTACACTGGCGCCGCCTCTTGGAATTCAAGGCCCCTCTAAACAGGGTTGACGTTCTTTCGTAGTTTTAAAATTACCGTCGCGAAATTCACATTTCGTAAGCCAGCATATCAATTAGTGTCTTCATATTGCCGACCTTGTCGTCGTAACATAAATGAGTATACTAGTAGATCGCTACGAATCGATACATATGTACGAGACAGGCTGACAGGGACTGCGTTTGTATTCCCCAGGACGCGCGTCTCTGTCTTCACACGGACTTTGTCCAGTGGAGAAATTCGCCCTAGGCCGTACAGAGAAAATCCCTGTCCATCTCCAAATGACGGCATAAGATCGTACACCCCTGTTCGATATCAGTGTAGCGGGTTGCTACCCAATAAGCTACGATGCAAGTGATCGTAGGGGTCGTAATAAGATACGACTCCCTTCAAGACTCGAGATGACAATCCGGTGGCGTGCAGCGACGACCCTTCAAGAAGAAGGCCGTACCCCTTCTACTTCGGATCCCAAATAACCGGGCGCACCGACATCTATATCCTATGCGGGCTTTCAGGTGAGGCGCCTAGACCTCTCAAAGCCCCCTCGTCTCTTACCATACTATGTAACCAGGTTTTGCCCTCACTCAGATACGAACGATATCTCGCCAAGCTTTTCATATATATATATATATATATTATCAAACGAACCGCAGTTTATTCAACATGGGTCCTCCAAAGACTATATATGATAAGGCGCTCGCATTGGAAACCCCCCAAGGAACCCCCCATCTTATCAACCCACGCGCTCTGTCTCGAGGTATTCATCCTGCGGTGAAATCAGTCCGGCTCGCTTATTTAGGAAGCCATCGCGATCTTCCATACATACGCCCAGCATGACTTTCTTACACGTTAGGTTAAAGGGATCTCGGTGTTAACGCCGAAACTTGCCTTATCGTGACAATTAGCCGCAGGCGATGGGGGGATTCAGGACGTTCTCCTAGTAAACTCACCGACCAGTAGCCGAATATTGTGGTCTAGAAGGGACTAGATTTCACTTAGCCTAGGGACGTACCATTCTAGAAATATTCTAACACCTTAGTCATAAACATAGTCCTTCCATTGTAGTCTCGTAGTCGATTAGAGATCTATGCAAACCGCATGTATCTTTGTTTATACGAATGACTAGCGTCCTGTAAGCTTCGGTGCGTAGTTCTAAGGAATACGGTGAACGCGTGGCCGTCAAATGACCCAATATTGAGATAGAAGGATTATGATGTCTACCTAGGTACCCAAAGTAAATGTCTATTGACTCTCTCGGTAGTCATACGTTAGGTACGTACGCATATTAGCAAGGGGCTATTCAAGAGCCTAATTTGTAATATCACCTTCACACGTGTACGTTCATAAACTTTACCGAATAATACACCGCCTCAGGCGGTTTCCCCGGTGCAGGAGTTGATGTACCAGAAACTCCGCGATAGCTTCAAATTAGTTTGCCACCTAGACCCATCCATCCAATGCATCCTTGTTGAAGCATAAAAATGGAGTAGGGATCCAAAGAATGGGCAGTTTTCCACATTTCGATCCTCGTAGTAACCGCTCTGGGATCGTCGATATCATACTTCAAGATTAGAATAAGAGCGGCTGCATATTTCAAATACAGCCTCTTTACCGCCATGTCCATCTAAGATTCTTAAACTACTCGTGTTGAGTTAGTTTTGCGTACTACGCGAGTGATGGTTCAAAAGAATATACAGCCTACTCTAAACTTAGGCCGGGGTCATTAACTGTCCTACATCTTAAATAGTGAGAGGTGAGAGGTTTTCAGGTAGCGTCCTAATATTCCAGCTTATGCTAACATCCCGTTGACAAGAGCAAAACGGGCAAGCCGGGTGTCTATTTTAAACCTGTCTGCTCGCTTAACTGCCGACACTTATCTTCGACGAATGTCTTCGGAGACACTCCGAACACCATAGATGTCCGTAGGGTAGGACTGGCATGTGAAGTACTAAATATCACCATGATAAATATACCAAAAGAATTAATCGAGAGTCTAGGCTAGGTAGCATCTATGGTTTACCAAAACGGTTGTAGTATCCAAGGTAGGTAGATCAAAATTATTCATTCTACTCGATCGCTTCAAGATTTATATTAGGATACGTGTCAAATCCATAGTTATATTACTGGACTACTATCTTTTATCATAGATTAATAACAATATTTTACGGGAGAATTTAAGGCCACGAGCTTAGAATAGCTAAGTAGATATTACATAGCTAGAGACTTTTATGAAGGTATAACTCTGTCCATAGCCCGATAGTCTATCTACTCGGACAATGTAGAATTCTGATATATTAATACCTATAATTAGCACGAGAAACTTACTGGAATAATACTGACTCTGAATTGAAGCATGTTCTAGGAGGAAAGATACATTTGGAATTCGTCTCTCCCCGTAAGTCCTGCACATTGACTTTAACATTTATGTCTCCTTTTTTATTAGGTCGACCTTTAGCCCTAGTACATTGGTGAGCTTATGGCTCTCTGCATGTGGTCCTAATACCTAGCGCTATTGAACTCTTGCTGTTATTGGCAATGGGCATTTTTTGGGCCTTATAGCTTAGGCTGTAGTAACTCTCGGGTTAGGATTTATGCGATTGATGGATTTACCCCTGAGTTTGCTCCTTGAAGTATATCCTCCAAAGGCCTACCATTCTACTTTTAAGGATATCTATGATATTTATCTAATGATTGCATAGTTACCAGGTAGTCACCTGGCCGCCTGATCGTGAGGATCCTTGTGCTTTGTAGTCCATTCTTATCATGGCTATAATTGAATTGCTATCACCTCAAGTTTGCCCTTTGAATCCTCATTACGTAAACTCAACCCCTTCCTATCTACCTACCTACACTAGTGCAATATCCTAAGCTCATTCATTCATCCTACGTCCTTTGAGGACCTTCTCAATCGTTGCGAAATACCTGTCTAGGTCACAAATCTCTTTGATGATAAGTTAGATTCCACAGAATCTTCCGAGGATTTTAGGTACTTAGCTATCTAATAGGCATAAATAATGATTAGATAGCGAGCAATCAAGTCTATTGTGGTTCGACTAAAGAAGCCAAATTCATAGGAATTGTTATACCTGTCTAGGAATACTTAAGCCAACACTGACACCGTTAGTCAAAATGTTATCTGGGATATTATATTGCCGGCCTAGTCTTCTAGGTTATTCGACAACTCCCTTTTTGAAACGGACCCAGGACATTGGTATCAAGGCCAGATGGTAAGACTTAATAAAATACTTATTGTTATAATAGGTCACTTGTAGTTGATCATATTCAGGAGTTCCTCCGAGGTCCTCTCATTTTATATTTACCAAGTATTGTTCAAAACTAATCGTAAATTTGCTCCAACCTTAGTTGAGTCATCGCTCATTCTTGTGTCTAATAGGTTTACTGAGATAAAAAACCAGAGTTTTCTATCTAAAGAGTCGAGTACTTAGTGAATTCTGTTTGAGGCATGATTCATTAAGTGCCAAATAAATTGAAATTGAGTAATCCTTATGATTCAGTTTCACATGTCATGTAATAGCACAATCATAACCACTGCTATCGTCACAACTGGTATAGTTCTTTTAGTTTAAAACGCCACCTAGATCGACTCAGGAGTGAATTGGGCAGGTTTAATTTACAACTACACGACATAAATCCCACCAACAGGATCACATATAAATTCTCAGGCAACGAATAACTGCGTATGGAACCAAACATAGCTCATCAACCACAACTCTGCGTACACTACCTGATATATACCAGCCATCATCATGGCAGACTCTAGACCAATCCTGCAAGAAATTATCGCCCGACACAAGACAATTCCACGCATGGACCCTTCCCAGAAGGAATACCACGGCCTGTCACTTGCAGAAGAACTCGAGCACTCCCGAGGGTTACTTCGCAAGCTTGAAGAAGAGGGTGAACGTGTGCGGGATAGAATCACCATACTAGAAAAGCTGCTCGCTCAGCTACAGTGTACTCTTAGTCTCGTAGGGTTGGAGAGAATTACCTACTACGAAGCTTACCTGAGGGGAAAGAAGAAAGATGAGGCATGATTTATCGACCTATTAGGTCTTACGACTTTTAATCATCAGCGTTCTTAATTCGTGTGCGGAAAGATTGACCTGCGTGTAGGTCTAGCAATCAATACGACTTCACTTCGCCTCGAAAAATCATATATTAACTTCATGGTAGATACCAATGTTTCTGTAGGTGCACGATATATATATTGCATACCTACTATACCTAGGTAGGTACCTACGTAATTGTCGATGCCTTCTATCTTCACGAGAAGGAATATCTGAAATCAGTCATTTCAAGTTATCGGATTCGAGAACGGTGTCTCTGTCAGCAATACGGGAAGGGGGAGGGTTGCGAATACGCCTCCGGGCTATGATCGGTGTTACATGAACATAGGAATGTTAATGCTTCTTATTGCTGCCTACCTGGCTGTTAACCGCCTGATGTACCTCCTGAAAGAGCCCTTTTATTCTCTTGCGGAGTCTTGAATATATCTTTCAATATGACCCAGCTTCAACCTTGGGTAATAACCTGCTCCTCGCTCGCTTTCTAGTAAGCGGCGTATCCGACAGCCTCCGTCATTCCATATACTTAGATGAGCCTCCACGGCACCTTGCTTAGCAGCCGGTATTTAAGATCATTCTTCAGCGGACCGCCGGCATTGATGTATTTTGCACCACTGAAATCGAATCGACTGATTACATTGGAATTTGCCATCTGAAGGACAACGCTTGGCACACCCTGGAAAGTCGTAGCTTGGTTCGACCCAACTAGTTTCGTAAACTCTTCGATATTGTAATTCGGCATAGCGTGATGCAGCATCCCGGTGTAAGGGCCTAAGAACAGCGGCAATGTGGTCATGGTGATGTGAGTCCATAGCGTAAAAGCTACCGTCCAAGAAGACGGATGAGACTGTTCTCGGTCATGTGCGACGAGTTGATAGCAATTTAAAACCAGATTGTAATGCGCCAGCTCAACTCCCTTCGGTTTGCCCGTGGTCCTAGATGATAGCTGAATTGATTCAAGGCGATCTGTCGTGTTGCGCCAATGCGGAATTGAAAGACGCTCTGATAAGATGTATTCATCTGGTAAGTAAGGAAGTCCGTTTATTCGATTGATCATCGTCATAATTTTAGGCTTCTCCCAGCTCACTCCTTAGTCGACAAGCTCTTTTTCGACGACTCGTAAAGCTTTTGTGACCATTGGAACTGTGGCCCCGTAAGATACCACAAAGTGTGGTCTCGCGATGACAAGTCCATGGCCGATCTCTTCAGCTTTGAGCGCATGACTGATAGAGCATACGACGCCGCCCGTCCAAAGTATCGTGTGGAAGATCATACTCTTGAGTTTTGGATCAGTCGATGCTTTGCGCCCCCAGGATTCTAGTTCTCGACAGCAGCCATGAGAGTCTATCGCCCCGAAGCAATATAAATCCCCAAAGATCTGAATTCAACAAAACTCCTCCATAGACCAGCATATCCAGACCTTCTAGAGTCTCATCTAATCACCAAGGCTGCCGTGACCAATTCGAACTATCGGGCCTAAATGCGTTTTTCGAGAAGAGAGAACCCCGGTGGAAGGGAAGCAAGCTTTAAGATACCCTGCCGCATTGCTTACGAGTCAGACAGATAGAGAATGCCCGGAACCGGGTCACACAAGTATGCAGAAGTATTATGGAAGCAGGTTATGCGAAGATCAGAGAAGAAATGATTGGTTGTAGATGCTGTGTTCGCAAAGCACGTCGGATTTCGTACATGACACCCACACCAAGTATAGCATCATCTACATAATTATAACACTCGAGCAGTGCTAATATTACAACTTCATTTCAGTACATTCCTATGATTGGTAAGCTATGATTTAATTTTAATAGTTAGGTAGGAATAATAACCGACTTTCGCGATAGCTCGGGCTGTATTGTAGCACCCTAACATGGGATAGCGATGATGTTACTATCTGAACATCATTGTTTCCGTAGCGATAGCTCTACTATTCTTCTACCATCTCTTCGATGGTAATTGGAATTTTTGTTCTCATTACGCTCTTCGTTTACGATGCGTATGCCAAGCTTGAATACCCAGCCATTCCAGTTCAGTTCTTCTTCGCCAACCGAGGGTTTATTAGTCTTGTCGCTACAGTTGCGAGTATGTATTACTATGGCCTCAACAAGTCAAGGCTCTCTATACTTCTGACATCACCTACGGTGGTTGGATCTTGGCGCAAGATGCATAGAAAGGTAACTAGGAAAGATAGCCCAGACTCCTCATCGTCGGCATAAAGGGGAGATTGGCTGAGTCAAGCGTGTGTGTCCATCCTTAACGAAAGGACGACGCCTGGCATGATTTGAACGTATCATATTTATTTAATGCTTATGTCATTACCGTTCTAAACAATGATACTAATTTGTATATAAGTAGCAATATCCTAGCGAAGGGTGGAAATCTGATTCATACTATTGATGTGAAAATAGCAACTGGCCTGATATTGGTCCTTCTTAGGTCTACAAACGCACCTCTAGGCTTGTCATAAGACCAATCTTTAGTTTTTTAGTAGTCGTACGCAAACGTCGGTATTATGAAGGTAATATTATCATTAAACTTCGGACTTATCTAGATTAAGTGACTCAATATTTAAAACGGGCTACCGTCAAGTTTCAACGGGTATCTGGATTGAATCTGGAACTACCTAACCTAGGTTAATAAGCTTAATCGGTCCGGGTGTGGGGTTATGGGACTATAAAGACTTAGGGCGACGCTTAGAGTTGGAGAGGTTACCGTTTGTGGAAATGGAGCAATGATCTGATTGGAGGAGTCGAGACGACAGTGTTATTGACGAGCCCTACAGAAGTATTCTGCGAGGAATACTAGCGCTGAAGAATTAAGCTATTAAGCTCTACTGCGTGGTATTCGGTGCAGTAGTTAGCGAAATCTATTCGTTATAGAAGTTAGCGATCTCTAGTCAACTACTTTAAACTACCTCCGTTAACTTACGTACCTCTTAATTTTATATTTAGTAATTTTTCTTACCAAATCTCTGACATATTATAGAAACTCCAATGCTACATAGATTTAACAAGTGACATCAGGGAAAGTCTCAAAGTCTCAGTAGGATCGAATCACCCAGCCACCTATTTAGCGAGATTACTTGTAGGCAGATACCTGGGGAGCTGGGGAGCTACCCCGCAGTCGTCTCCTCATTAACCCCAGATCTACTATGCAAATGTTGGCATAGGTGTTGGCACACGATGGAGAAGTGTAACGTTGACCTGGGGCTATTCCGACTGTTCCCTCATACTGCGAAGGATTTGACCTGGATTACCCTAGCTTTTTATATAACTTGTTCACCCCACTTGCATAAGTGATTTTGAATCGCGAATAGGATTCCATACCTTATCCTTAGGCACATGCTAAGATGGAGCTGACTGCAGACCGCTTGGGTGAGATCCGGGCAAGAGCTGGGGAATATCATTCCACAACATCGGATCCGCATGAAAGGATGGGAAGGCAGAAAGAAGTACATAAGATTAACAGGTTCCATGCGAGTGCGTTCCACTTAGGAGCCTTCCCTCTTGCCTCTCGCCAGTCTAAGCGACACACCAGTAGAAGTTAGATTTTCTTCCTGGCTACGTCAAAATGAAGGGCATTTTATCCGCTTGGCTTGTAATCCTCGCTTCTTGCTTGGGTATAAGTGCTGTCACTGCTCAGGTCTTCGACCCGAACAAGGGCAGCTCATCGGGATGGGACCCAGCTGTAGTCGGAACGAATAAGACAACCAATGCCACCTTCTCGAATCCCGTCATGACTTTCAACGTTGGAGATCCTTTCATGACCAAGTATAGTGCCGACGGCGAGGATTGGTATCTTTTCACGTATACGACGAACTCTAATATTACGTTGAAGCGCTCAAGATATCTCACCGACAACTGGAACGATGCCGAGAGCAGGGTCGTCTTCAACCCAGATCCTACTAGCGGAGAACCGTGGTCGACAAGCTTATGGGCTCCCGAGATTCACAATATATCCGGTTCTTGGTATATTATCTTCACTGCTACCTCTGACGGTGACAACCCACCGCCGCTCCTCGACGCCATGTGCCCGATTAATTGTCCCGTACGTCTTGACATGATAATAAATCAATTAATACGCTAACAGGAAACTGCAATAGGCAATCAATCATCGTATGTTCGTTCTTGCAGGTGATGGGCTCGATCCTTGGACTTCCAAATTCGAGATGAAACCTATGCTAGATACTTACGACATGTTCGCCATCGATGGCACATATTTCCACTTCGAGGATAGGCTATACCATATCTACTCTTGCTGGGAGCAAAAGTACTCTTCATGGCCGGCCAATTTGTGCATCACACGCATGTCGGATCCGTGGACGATCAACTCAACGCTTTCCGAACGCCGGATCATCAGCACACCAAACGAGCCGTGGGAACAAGTCCCGTATGGCCGTCCAATCCGACTTGCGACAAATGAGGGACCTCAGCAGCTCACGAACCCCAAGACGGGCCAGAACTTCGTCATATACTCTGCAGCTCGCGTCAACACGCCATTCTACTGTCTCGGTATGCTTGAGCTTGTTGGTAACGACCCAATGGAGTACCAATCGTGGAAGAAACACAAAGACGGATGCGTCTTCCATCAAAATACAGCGACGGGCATTTACGGCACGGGTCACGCAAGCTTCGTCTCTTCGCCTGACGGCTCCGAGGACTATATCGTATACCACGCGCAAACGACACCAAATCCAGCCTCGGACCTGTTTCGCACGGCTCGGATACAGAAATTCACGTGGAACGAGGACGGTACGCCTAAGTTCCCACTCGCGGAGAATGGGCCCTTCCCTGTTCCGGCTGGGCAGCAAGCTCTCACACATTAATAGACGATAAGAGTTATGATAGAATATATATTTGCATAATAGATAATAACGAGTAAAAAAATTTTTTTTCCACATCAATGTGCCTCTGCTTACAAGATGAAGAGCCTATACTATATACCCGTACATATCCGAATGTATGTATAAACCCCCTAATCTATATGATGCATCCTCCCATCCCAAGATCTGCTTCTATTTGTGCAAATCCAATCCGAGTCGTATAAATAATACACACAACTATATGTCATATTACTTTTACCATATATATCCAACCCTAAACGCCCAAGTTTATATACACTTGCAAATTAACCTAATCCCATCATCACGTTTTGCTCGCCTATACTTCTTGAGTATAGACACATCATACTAACCCCCACCACGCAACCATCGCCGCACCTACAACCAACACCTCAGCAGCCCACAAGCCCACTCCTTTCTTCGTCCGCAGCGCCGCTGCACCGCTCTCCGGCTCCACCTCCCCGGCAAACGCACCGATGATGTTCCCGCGCGGCCAATACTCGCACGCAAGATACCAACCGTAATTCCCAGGACACAGTTTCGCTCCACACCCGACGTCCGTCGTATCGCGCCATACCAACTGCGTAAAATGCCCCGTCGCCTCGCTGAACCCCGGGTCATCATAATTATATTGTGCATCCTCGTTGCCCCATAGATCCACGCAGTCTCCTGCATCGGAGCATCCTAGTGCTAGGTTTTCGCCATAAGGGCCTCCTGAGTGTTTCATGCGGCAGGTCTCTTTTTGGGAATATGGCGATGAGGAAGAGTGTGAAGATAAGTATCCCGAGGCGAAAGCCGCCAGAGTATCGTTCCAGCGGACCGTGGAGGCGTTGTGTGCGGTGCGGTGGAAGTTGGTACTATTGATGATGGCGGAGGTGAATGTGTCGTGGTTGATGAATGAGGGAGCTTCGCTAGGGATGGGAGGAGCGACGGTTATGACGATTACGGTTTGGGTGCTGACTAGGGGGAGGAGGAGGAAGAAAGATAGGAGGAGAGAGGGCATAGAGAAGCTAAAGTGAGAGAGGACTGATGTAGGAAGGACGGCTACCATTGAGGCTATCGAGGGGTTGGAGATATCATATAAGTATATTATATAAGTCGATAGTAGGTTGAGAACTGTAAGCAACAAGTCTATATTCGACTTATACGTTACAGATTATCGATAGCAATATCCGGCTTGCTGATTGATTTTCCCTTGTAGAGAAATGAGATAGGAAAACTTGGCAATTATAAATATATGGGTGATGTAATTGTATAAAACAAGGAAGAAGACAATACCACCCAACTCAACAAGAGAAATAATACGATGGTGAGTCTTGACTTACAAAGGCTTTCTCATCCCGTCTTTAAAGGTGAACAAGAGAATCCAGGTCAACCCTGACTGAGACCCGGACTCACCTCTAAAGTTCATTCTAATGTTCCTTAACTACCTGTTGATGACAATGCGACTTCCAAGCGCGGGCGGCTAAGGACCCAGCCCAAGGCGCCATTTAGAGCTAAGCTTGGCGCGGATAACGTAGCCGCTGAAGGAATCGTAGCTGGCGTTTCTCAGCCTATCATAAGTTGACGCCACTGCCGAGGGGAAACGTTTGGGGATAACTTCCTTGGCAGGGGAGTTTTCCATCCATGATAAAGAATTGTTTATAAAAAGCAAACAAAATAGGAGGTATGAACTATATAAGCTTACTGACAATTGTTTTTTCTTTCTTTTTATTTCTATACCCGTTATTATGAATTGAGAGTGGCGTATCGTATCGTATCGTATCGTATTGTATCATAGACTTAACCCTTTTTTCCATCTTGCTAATAATTCCACAACTAATCTCCTTTTAAACATAACTACCTACCTAATATTCTTCCGTCACTCTATTCAACGCTCACAATACGCATCTCTTAACCCCCTCTCACGGAACCAACACGCCTCTAAACCGGGCCTTATTCGCCGCACACGACTCCATCGCCTTCGCCGCGTCCGCAAGCGGATACTTCTCAACCCAGCATTTCACACCATGATCAACCGAGAACCGAATCGCCTCCTCGGAATCCAGCGCGTGTCCGTTTGACCAGCCGTGCACGGACAAGCTCTTGAGATTCATCAGCAGCGTATTGAACGGTACGGGATCGTGCGGCGGGCCTAGCACCAGCAATTTCCCGCCAGCCTGCAGCCCGCCGACTAATGGGCTGATAGCAGCTGCATTCGGCGCTGTGGACACTATCATCGCTGCGCCCCCTAATGCTTGCAGGGCTTGGACTGGGTCCTCCTCGCTCGCGTCGATGTAGCTATGCGCGCCGAGCTGCTCGGCGAACTTGCGCTTCGAGTCGCCGGAGCTGATGGCCACGACGTGGTACCCCATCTTGTTCGCGTATTGTACGGCCAAGTGCCCCAAGCCGCCGACCCCCTGGACTGCTACCATGTTGCCCTGTTCTATGTGCATCTTACGCATCGAGTTGAAGACGGTGACGCCAGCACAGAGTAATGGCGCGGTTTCTGCTGGATCTACGTCTGAGGGCACGCGCACGACGGCTTCTTCTCGAAGGAGTGTATACTCTGCATATCCACCGTCCTGGCTAACGCCGTTGATTTCCTGGTTATCGCACATTTGGAATTGGCCGCGCGCGCACTGGCGGCATGTCCAGTCGTGGCCTGCTGGCTGTTAGTCCTATTGGATTCTAGTATATAATATGAAAAGGGAAGGATACTGACCTCCATGCCATGGCCCACCTACTCGCTCGCCCCCCTTAAACCTCGTCACGTTGCTACCGATAGCAACAATATCGCCAACGAGCTCGTGTCCCGGGACGCGTGGATACACATCGTCGCCGTACTCGCCGCGTTGCGCGCAGACGTCCGAGAAGCACACTCCGCAGGCGAGTATTTTGACAAGGACCTGACCAGGGCCCGGCAGCTTTAGCTCTCTATCCTGGAATTCGATGGGTACGTTTTTCCCCGTTAGGACGCCGGCCTTGAAGGTCTTTGGTAACGAGTCCGCCATTTTCTCCTCGGTTTGTTTCGAGGTGGTAAAACGCCTTACTAGATTAAGCAGGTGGGTTAGGTCGATATTCGTTCCAACGGCGAGATAACTTCTCCTATCAGAGCGAATTAAGTTAGTAAGTAAACGGCTACGAAGACTGGAAGCTCAAGTCGAGGTATAAGACAATCACAACAAGACAAGACAAGACAAGACAAAGCTCTAATAATATACCTACCTACCTTAGGTAGGTGACCAGCCAGCAAATTTATCTCCTACCTGGCAAAGAACACTCCGACCCGATTATCGTCGTAATGGCTATGTAAGAGCCATATGTCTACGATAAGGTGAGTTACTTTCACTTTTAGTTACTTACTTACTATGTAAGCATATACCCACAACCCGTCCATCACCGAGTCAATAGCAGGCGGAGCACCTCCGAGCCCATCACCAATATCGCGCACGCTGTGTGATCCGTGATCCGTGATACCGTGATACCGTGATACCGTGATACCGTGATATCAGTGGTTGCCCCTCCCCAGGCGACGTCGTACGGCAGCCCGCATAGTCGCAATGTAGATCTAGTAAATTGCCCAGCTCATTATTGGCATATACAATACCATGTCTGGGCAGCAAAATCTGGGTCTCGGAGTAACGGAGTGGCGGAGTTGACGTCTCACTGGAACTGTTAGGTGCTACCTAGGTACATTACATATATTACATACGATAATTCATTTACCGCCTCAGCCCACTCCTTTTTTATTCTATTTCCTTTTCGGACATAGGATTTAATCCATCAAGTCAGGGTAGTCATGCAAGGGCCCTTTATCTTGATCCAAATACCTCCCCGTAAATACGCTCCAACACCACTACTATTATGTTCTTAGTAGGGCGCCATTCTTATGTAGGTCTCATGTATATATCTAATAACGTTGGCATAAGCCGACATAACACAGCGTGATAACATAATTTTATCAATTCTCCATTATTATAGTCCCCACTGGAAACCGTTCAGCCATGGAAGTACTGAGGTATCAATCGCATCGTAAAGTTTCATACTATACATGTAACTATCGCGCCCCCAATGTAGCCAGCGCTGCCTGCAGCTCTCTCACTGCCGTTGGCACGTCCTCGAAATTCAGCGCTGAAATTGCCCACTTAGCGTGCTTCTGTGCTTGTACGATCGCCATGTCGTCAGTATTCAACGCATTTGAAGGCCCGCTGTTACCGCCGTACTGCTGCGCCGGGACTACCGGCTGTGAAGGCTGTGAATAGTAATTCCTACCATCCGGAGGCGCCTGAGGAGTGACCTGTCTCTGTGGCGGCGGCACGACTGGCGGTGTATGTGCAGGGCGATAGAAGTCTTGAGGCGTTGGGGCCGCGTCTGGAGGCGAAAAGGGAGCAGGAGGTAATCCGGCTGGATCGTGGGAGCTATGACTAGGTATTACGGGGGGAGCTCCTGTGAGATTGAAGGTACTCGAGCCCGGAAGAGGCATATTCGTTGTAGATGGTAGATTTAGGTCATCTGGGGCACTGGGGAAATAATTTCCTGGGTCTGACGTAGGCGGGCCGGGAGGTGCTATAGGAGACACTTGATCGGGTCCTAATGCTGATGGAGCTGGAGGTGAAGTCGGCGCAGATACAGGCGCAGGGAAAGTCTGATAAGATCCGGTCGATGTTGGATGTGGTCTGTAATCTTCGTCGGGCGCGTCCTCTATGCTCACTGGTTTGGGATGTGTACCTCCAAGCATCTGCACTTCTGGGTCGTTCGGGTCTAGCGCCGGCGGCACCTCTTCATGTTGGACCTCTTCCTGTTTCGGGTTTGACTCGTTGGGATCTCTTCCCTCTTTGACCGCCTTCAGTATGCGGGCGGCATTCCACTTTGCGTACTTGACCTTCTCTTGCGTCTCGGGGTCGGGTGTTGCCCATATGTTAATCAGTTGGAAGAACGTCGCCGCGGCCTCGAATGTACTCGCCGTCTGTCTATATTAATTATTAGCGTCAGTCTATAGGAAACACATTGCTCTATAAATAATTCGTACTGTGTGACTTTGTTGGCTTTCAACGGTCGCAGCGCTCTCTCGAAGGTCTCTTGCGCAAACTGTTCCACGTACGCTTGGCCAGCCACATCGTCATGGATTGCATCGTTTCCTGCCTGATCTTCCTTTATCTACACGAATACAAAAGCTGGTTAGCGCATTGCGACTTGGAACAAGTAATAAATATCTTGTTATCGTACATTCTCGAGTTTCTCCATAAGATTCGTAGTAAAAAGGTGGCATTCTTCGTCGGCGGAGTGTAGGTTTTTACCAAGGATCTGGTTTACAGCCCAGTAGAAGCCTTCCGGATCGTGACGTTAGCAAGTAGGACTCGTGTTGATACGACGACGGTAATTGAACTTACACCAATAAGCCATAACAGGTTTCGCGGCTTCGAGTTGCGTGGCGCGCACGATAAAGGGCGTGATGCCCACCTGTTTTAGCTTCTGGGGTATGTTGGCCGCCATGGTGGAAGTATAGGGTATTCCTTAAGAAGGACAATTAAGATTGGACAGATTAAAAAGATCCCCAAGACGTATTTGAGTTAGCTAGCAGTATATAGACCGAATCTATCAACGGTTCTTAATTTAACTATGGCCGAATTAGGAGGAAGTTGACTGCTTATTGGGAACAGTTTATGCTTTGTGTTAAATATAGTAAGTCCCTCGGTATCCTCGGTGGTAGAATGAGAAGCTAAATTGATGACGATGTGAGGTTTAAAGTCAGGACCAAGCCGACGTCTAGCCAACTACCATGTAATGCGCAACTTGACATTTTCTAACTTAACCCCGCTGAAGTCACTACCTCCCCACTGCTGCGGGCAGCTTCGGTGCTATTCCTCGAAGATAAGCTGATAAGATCAAAGCTCGCGCCACAGATTTCTATCAGCTCTCTCTCCAGCCACAATTTACCCCGGATTCTCCCATCTAACCAATCATGGAACTTCCCTTGGGCAAGCGGGGCCGGAGGGGCTTGCATGTTAGCGTCGTAGTTCTACAGCGAATTGGATCGAATTTCCACGGTGGCCTTTTGCTCGATTCAGTAAGAAGACAGAAATTCATTTAAAGCTTCACCTGTCTCTATCGTGTGACGCCAGCGACCGGATGATCTGTCATGTCCAGCATCTCCTCGATTATAAACATACGGACGAAGAAACATCTCATGGTTTGACGTAACTCTTTCTTTCCCGTGCATCTCATGCAATTCTCCATTTAGCCTGCACTGTGATTCTTATATCTTCAAGTCTTATACCTACATACCTACCTTATAACCTACCTACATATTCCCTGCTCCATTCCATCGTAGGATCTTTTGCTAGGACAGGCCATGCATGCCTTCAATATCAACCCCACCGCAGCAATCGCTGCAGTGGCTCTGCTCTCTGCCCTGCCGACTGCCCAGGCTGGCTTATATCTCAAGAGCTCGCCCGTAGTCCAGGTAGACGCCAAGAATTATGATAGGATAATCAACAGATCAAACCACACTTCTGTAAGTATATATAGATATATATACCGCAATACTAGGAAATTGATCAACACGACCAGTATCAACTAATGGGTTGCATTCTAGGTTGTCGAATTCTATGCGCCTTGGTGCGGCCACTGCCAGAACCTTAAGCCCGCCTACGAAAAGGCAGCTAAAAACCTTGAGGGTCTTGCCAAGGTCGCTGCTGTAAATTGTGACGAAGATGAAAACAAGCAACTGTGCAGCATGATGGGCGTCAAGGGGTTCCCAACGCTCAAGACCGTACGCCCGGGTAAGAAGGGGAAGCCGATCGTAGAAGATTACAATGGTCCTCGAACAGCCAAAGGTATTGTGGATGCGGTTGTTGACAAGATCAACAACCATGTAAAACGCGTAACGGACAAGGACTTTGATTCCTTCCTTTCGACCAAGAACGACACGGCCAAAGCTATTTTATTCACGGAGAAGGGCACTACGAGCGCTTTACTAAAGAGTGTCGCCATTGACTTCCTCGATGTCATCACCGTTGCTCAAATTCGAGACAAGGAGACCAAGGCGAATGAATTATTCGGCATCAAGTCCTATCCCACTTTCGTGTTACTCCCTGGTGGCGACAAAGAGAGCATAATATACGACGGAGATTTGAAGAAGGATGATATGATCAAATTCTTGTCGCAAGCTGGTCAACCAAACCCGGACGCGGTACCCGCTAAATCAAAGGGGGAGAAGAAGTCCGAGAAGAAGAACAAGAAGGCGTCTCCTAGATCTTCCGAGTCCAGCTCTAAGACTACCTCGACCGAATCAGAAGAGTCTACCGATGCTCCTCCTGCCGAAAAGTCCGTCGAGGTCGTTCCCCCTATCCCAGCTATCACCGAGGCGGACCAGTTAACTCAGGAATGCTTGAATCGAAAATCTCACACCTGTGTCCTTGCTTTCGTTCCCTCCGCTCACGGAGAGACCGCAGAAAAGGCCTTGACTGGCCTAGCCGAACTGGCATTCAAACATGCCCACGCCCACCGCCACTTATTCCCCTTCTTCGAAGTTCACCGCGATAATGAAGCCGCCGAGTCGGTATTTAAGAGCTTAGAACTCTCAGGCGAAGTTGAGATTGTCGCTATCAACGGCAAGAGAGGATGGTGGCGTCACTACGAGGGAGATTTCAGCTCTGTGAGTATTGAGAGCTGGATTGACGCTATCCGTCTCAGTGAAGGCGCCAAGAAGAAGCTGCCAGAGGGCGTGATTGGCGAGGGCGTCGAGAAGCCTACAGAGTCTGTTGAGGTAAAGACTGAGGAGGATGTTAAGGTCAAGGTCGAGACCGAATCTGACACGTCTACTAAGGGTGCCGAGCCAACTCCTGAGGGTACACCCGCGGTAGAATCGAAGCAGGTACCCAAGCACGAAGAGCTGTAAACGAGGACTTTAGGTTAGTATAGAACTAGGTTTTAGTTTCGATCGGGTATAAAAATAATAAAGCAAAAATGCCATATTAAATTTCCTGGTAAGGGTCGACTTACCCGCGAATGAATGAGCCTTCAACCTAAACACCTGTCATATACTATCCCGCCAACCCAAGCTCCTTCATGGTTCTCCCCTCATTCTATTAACCGGCCTCCTCCAACGAGCCTAAATATCAATATCCATAGCCATACTGACACCCTTCTCTACCGCCCCTTCAGCCACCATCCTACGTCCCTTATCTCTTACAACTGAGTCTAGATACGCGCGTATATTCGCACAACCGTCGGCCGCCGCGACCATCATTCCCTCCAACCTGCTAACCTGGACTCTACTCTCACAGACAAGCACGACGACCTTATCAGTGGCGCCTAGCGTGCCGACCGTCAAAAACGGCAATTCTTGTTCCTCTTGGTTATTCAAGTCAATAAGAGGGTCAGCACTCTCGTCAGCCGCCGAGTGCGAGGATGTGCTACCCGCACTACAGGCGATTAAGTAATCTGTCATAGGGACACCGGCATCGACGAGCGCGAGAGTCGCGGCGTTGATGAGGCAGGCCAGGAGGCTGCCGTCTTGTGACAGGATGTGTAGGGATAGTGATATAGTAGAGCGCGGGAATAGGTGCGTATGTAGGACTGCGGCGAGGGATTTGGCGAGGGTGGCTTGGAGTTCCTGGATGCGCCTGTTCGGATAAGCTCATTAGCACTTGTTGTCTTCACGTCTAACTATCCAGACTAGACACTTGTTCAAGGAAAAGTGACATACTTATCGCTCCTTGCCCTCTTTTTCCTATCCACGGTACTAAACCCGCCAACAACAATACTAACCAATATGTCCGCAGCACTGGTCGCCGAAGCGGAAGTCGACGAGCCGGAAACAGCGGCGGAGGAAGAGGAGGCGGCTTGGTTACGTCGCTTGCCGTCTTCGCTGGGGCCGGTAACCACGCACATGATTTTCGTGTTGCCCATCTCGAGGTACGAGGATCCGTCGGCGGCGGCCTGCGTCCGGATCTGGCCGCGTAATTGGCGCAGCTCGTTCCATCGGCGGCCGTCAATGCGCAGGAGCGCGAGGTTGTAGGTTGATGTGTCGAGGGACATTTTTTTTTAAAAAAAAAATAATAATCTTCTCTATCCTCCCTCTTCCTTTGTTACTTCCAAAGGACCTTCAAATGAATTCGTCGGTGAGTTTACTATTCAGTAGATTATCAGACATCTGGTCTGTCGATAGAAGGTGTGAGTTGATTGATTCGACTTTATTTGTCTTGCGTTTGAAATTGTTTATTGTTGATTGAAAAGCATCAGAGCTCTATCTGCTCTATCTGCTCGGTAGAAAATTTTGGTGGGGTTCTGTGCTACCTTCCCAGCTTCCCCAGACCTCCAATTTACCATAGTAGGTTAGGTACATACTAAGGTACCTAGTTACCCGAAAATGATACTAAAAAGGTACCTGAGGTACCTTACCCTTCAGTGCCCATCTTATGCTACTCCATTTACCTTAGGTACATATATAGAAATAAAATAAAAAGGCCTATTGATACTTGTAAATGTTTAAATTTTGCACACAACTATACCTACAGATAAATTGACATATCACATAAAATGAAGTTGCAATAGAAATATACAGTCTTCGTTGAGATGCTATTGATTCCCGTCCTATGCCGCTACATTACCCAAATGAGAGGTGAATTACATACATAATATAGACTGTCATAGCTATTGCTGCAGTAGAGAATAGTAAGGAATAAACAACCAGCCCTTTGTCACTTACTATCTGGCTATCCTTACCATTTGCCTGTTCGGATTTGAGCGCATTATAATACTTTCGATAGAATCCGCGTCCATGTCCTACACTGCGACCATAATATCCGTATTTCCATGGTTTTTAAGAAGGGGGGCGTTGAGGTCCAGCGCGGGAGGTGGTTCTACCTCATCCGCATCAGTCCACCCCCTTTCCTTACCCCAAAGGATCTTCAACCCCCGAGATTTCACCACGTCAATTAGCCCGCGCATGAGCACGCCTGACTTCTTCACGTTGAGCCAAGCTTCGAACTCAATCCGTTCGACCCACGGCATCTCGTCGAGAACATTAGTTAACAGCGACTTCGAGAATCGCTCATAGAAGTTGTCCGGCTGGCGGAATCCCTTAAAGAAATCGTTTCCCGGGTCGCACTCGATGTAGACCGTGATCTTAGTGATATTTACGCAGTCTGATAATCCTAAGGCGGGGTTTACTACCCAACCGCGAGGAGGGTTGCTCCAGCCTGGACCCAAGCGTAGCTCGAGAGAGGTCAAGCTAGCTCGTTGACATGGCTTCATACGGGCCAAAAGCGGCTTCTTGGTTTTGAAATAACGTCCGGGATGCGTCGGAAAGATGCGAACGGGGTGTGTGCTGTAGAAGAAATAGGATGCTTCCCTATATATAGTACTGCAGGATCGCAGGATAGCTAATTTTTGGTGGATCCTCTTGTAGTTGTCCGGATCAAGGTCAAGTACTCCGCCAGTATTAGCGAAATGATAGCCGTATACCTTCAAGCGTAGTTCGGACGGTAGATCGAGAAATCGAAAAGGTCGTGGCTTCTCTCGTTTCGGTTTACGTAGGTTTGATACTGATGCACCTAGCGTGAGGGCGCCAATCGGTAATTTGGATACCTCATCGCTAACATCGTATTCGGCTTCGGAAGCGTAGGTCGAAGGGTAGGCTGAGCTAAGAGGAGTGGTAAGGGTGGAAGAGATAGGCGTCGGACCCGAGGCATGCCCTACAGCCCGCGAGCCCTTCGCCTTGTTAGGTTTATGGCGCATTCTGTATAATCATGTATATATCGAGTTACTTTAGGACTGCAGACAGTATACAGTGTGATGACTCAAGCAACGCGACGAAACTGCCGTCACGCGACAGTCGATGTAGGTTTATAAGAGGCGATGCAAGGCGAGGAGGAAGGCTCCGAGCCAGGATCGATTCTGCAAAGGCTCGCCCCTACTTAAATTAGGGCAATTGGTGATTAAATCGAGGTACAAGGTGGCATCCCGAGGGTGGTGCCATCGCGATATACTTCAACGACTGCAGCCACCCTCTAGAACGCAGCACTCTTGGCTGCCATATTGGATGAAGAAGGAAATCGGTCGTGTGTAACGTAATTCATAAGAGAGTTGAGCAGTTGTGACAAATAGGCTAAGAATCGGTAGCCAGATAGATAGGAGATATCAATTGCCTCAGAGCGAAGAGAGGGGGAAACTACCGGCAAAAGAAAACGGAGGGAATAATGAATAGTGAGTAGGCAAGTGGAAGTAAGTATTGGTGGTACCAGTGGTGGTAGTTGGAGAAGGAGGTCGAGTCGATTCGATTCGATCTAATATTGGTCGGAGCAAAGTGAAGTCAGATCAGATTCAGTACTGAACACTACTGATTGATGACATTAGATAATTGGCTAAGTGGGGTCGAGTCAAGTGATTCGGGGAAGAGACGGCTGGACGGATCAAGGGTGGCGGGGCCTAATTTTCTCAGGTGGACCGGCATACCTAGGTATTGTACAATACATAGGTACCTACACAGGTACCTATACCTACCTAAATTAGGCTTGGTTGATGGGAGTCTTTAAGAGGTTGCAACGGAAAGTCCTGGTGTATGCCTTATATTAGTAGTCAATTCAACTTTTACATGTTTCTTTATGCATTTCCGTTTCTATGCCAACAGGTATCTATATAAACAATCTCGTTGAAGGCTCTGCAAACTATTTACTTGTACAAAAAGGTTATAAAATCTACCATTGAAACCTTCGATGACGTGATGTGGGACATACGAAACGGAGAAAATTGGCGCCGATGCACAGAGTATTCGAGAATTGAGGTATCCTGGTACAGATTCTAGGTACCTAGGTATCTCATGCTAGGGTACCTAGTACAAACCTACGTAGTGCGGGCAGAACTTCGGTAACAGAAAAAAACTTGGAGTTCGACTTCGAAGGTTTTATATTTTATCGGTTTATCGTGCTGCGGGCGAGGGTCGAACTCTAGTCTAGGGTGTGCTTTTAAATTTTCCCACCAGCTGTTACTTTTCCATCTTCTCCGTCCCAACTTTTCAACGGAGGAGTCTCTGGTCTATAAATAAACCCGTCCCGGTGTGTAAAAGTTAGGATCTGTGATACGCATTGACGACGATAATTAAGTCATAAGTTGCTTGACCTGCGCAACAAGGTCGGCAACCCGACGTCATGTTGTCCAGAGCCCTCGCGCACTCTGCGCGATTACCAGCGCTCTCAAGATCAGCCATAGCAACTCCGGGATTTTCGAGAGTTTCCAGCAGAGCATTTCCAATCAACCGGGCAGCTCCGATATGGATGCGAGGTATGGCCAAGGACCGATCTCAAAAAGTGCCACCAAGTACGAATTCAAACCATCAGTCCACTCCCAGCCAACCTTCACCTAGCTCTGCTCAGTCACAACCTGCGCAACCCCCCGAAGGCGCCGAATCCGAGTCCCCTACCTCCAAAACCGACTTGAACTCTCTTCCAGATCTAACGCGAGGTATTCCGTCAACTCTCGAGTATGAGACGAGCGGCGCTACCGATAAGTCGGCGCTCACAGCCATCGAGGAGACGCCTGAAACCCAAGCTGGTGGCCGTGGTCGTGGGGAGTTGCCTGCGTCTGCGTACGTAAGCTCAACGGAGAAGCGAAGGGCCAAGGTAGCCAATCGCATGTACGCCGCGTCGCTCGCACTGGGTATTGTTCTCTTGGGTTATCTGGGCCGAGACTGGGACGAGGAGGAAGCCAGGATGCATACCGACATCCCCAACGGCTGGTCGCTTGGGCTATGGTGGAAGAGAATGATGGCTCGATTTGGTGACGTTACAAGCTATTATAGTGAGCCCGCCTTCGAGAAGCTACTACCCGATCCCGACCCTATGTTCGAACGGCCTTATACGCTCTGCATTAGTCTTGAGGATCTCTTGGTACATAGCGAGTGGACGCGAGAGCACGGTTGGAGAGTTGCAAAGCGCCCCGGCGTAGATTACTTCCTGCACTACCTCAGTCAATACTACGAACTAGTATTGTTTACGAGCGTTCCTTTCGCTATTGGGGAGCCTATAGTCCGAAAGCTGGATCCGTTCCGATTCATTGTGTGGCCCTTATTTAGAGAAGCTACCAAATATAAAGACGGCGAAATTGTCAAGGTTGGTTTTATTCATTTTCCGCAACCGTGTTCGTTCAGTGTCACTAAAACGTAGCCCCGAAGGATTTATCTTACTTGAACCGTGACCTTTCCAAAGTCATTATAATCGATACGAAGGCTGAGCACGTTCGGAACCAACCCGAGAATGCGATCGTGCTTAACAAATGGACTGGCGACCCGAAGGACAAGGAACTCGTAGCATTAGTCCCGTTCCTAGAGTATATTCATACTATGCAATATAAGGATGTGCGCGAGGTTCTCAAGTCCTTCGAGGGCAAGCATATCCCAACAGAGTTTGCTCGTCGAGAGGCGATAGCGCGTGCTGAGTTCCAGAAGCGGTACGAAACCGAGAAGAGGAAGCGGAAGAGCGGGATAGGCGCTCTAGGAAATATGCTCGGACTGAAGCCGAGTAACATGAGTCTAATGGTTCCTCTGGAAGGCGAGATTAGCCCGAGCGAAGCTTTTGCGCAAGGCAAGATGCTGCAGGACATCGCGCGGGAGAGAGGTCGACGCAACTACGAAATGATGGAGGAGCAGATCCGCGAGAACGGTGAGAAGTGGCTCAAGGAGGAGCAAATGGCAAACGAGAAGCTCCAAGCCGAAGCTATGAGCAGCATGAAGTCGTCTTTCACGAACTGGTTCCTGCCCACGAAAGAGTCGGGAAATTCTACCGAGCCTAAGAAAGAGGCGTAGAGAAGTTAGGAATGCCTGTAATCTATGAAAAATTGTATGATATGGAGAATGCTCATTGGGGGCATCGAATTGGTCGCATCACGGTTGTATAAGAGGACTATGAGAACAGCCACTGCTACCGTTATTACTACTACATTACCACGGAACTCTACTCTACTCTGAAGCGGCGGCATCACATTTGCATAGGACGGATTATATCAAGACAGGGGAGAATCTACTACGGCTACGGCTAAAGAAAAAGGTGCTCATATCATATCCGAAGGTGTCCCTGGAGGAAAAGGGGCAACTCGGATAAGGAGGGAAAGACGAGGAATACACGCCGAGATGAAACCTAATCTCTGTATTATTGTAGTATAAGTGAGCGACTCGAGGCTCGCCTACCCGGCCTCAGATTGCGGTGTATAGAATCCATCCAGCAGCTTCGAAGGAATCTTCTGAAAGGAGATGTCGTCATCATGTGATATTGTGATAACTATTTTATATCGTGTTATTTGTGTTGCGGTTACCCCTTAATACCAAAATAACAAATAAGATGTAAATTTGATCCCAGACTTCCAGAAGGTGTACGCAGCAAAGTAAAATGTTCCATCGCCGCTATCATTGTCGCTGTCATCCTTTTAGCCTCCCGTTTAAGCAGTCTCTTCCTATTGTTGCCTGGCAAGAAGATAGATAATGATAGGAGCCAGCTGCTTTAAGCCTTCGACGATGACGTTGGGTTCTCGTCGCCCCAAGCGTTGTGGTCACGACACCATTCACAATTCAGGTTGGTCTCGCATTGGAAATCACTAGGATGGTATATTAGTAGGTGATAGATGGTATATATTACTCTATTGTAAGAAATAAATGACGGGAGTAAAAGGCGGTCGTACTCGTCCTTGCACTTGCAGTATTCCTCGATCGAGGTGCAGTCTGGCGTAGCGGCAGCTGCAAACTCGGCAACCGGGGTCGGCGGAATCGGGGCTGTATTAGATGGGACGGCCACGGCGACCACACCTCCGCAGATGGCGAGGGCGAGGGCTAAGAAGCTTGAAGAATGCATTTATGTTGGTTATATAAGACAGCACAGAACAAGATGTTGAACGGATTGCTTTGACGAGCAAGTTCTCAGAGCTGGTGTATAAAGATCTATATATTTATAGATAAGACTATCTGGAATGTCAGATATAGTTTCATAATCAAGATCCAAACCGAGTCCGTATGAATCTTAGCCGAAGGTATCACAAATTCCCCCTTAGTGATAAACGATCTTCGTTTACGGCAAGTAAACGAACCGGTTTGTTAGACGGGCGTTTCTTGTACTCGCCGATTCTGACTCAAGCCCTGACAGGCCACGTGAAACGGAAGCATGGTAGAATGTTTACAGCAGAGGTGATGGGATGATACGAGGACCAACTTATCCCGTGGTCTTCTACCGCTAGATTTTCACCGCTATTTGTTCTATCATGGGATTACGGCAGATGTTGTAGAGAATCTCACAAAGTACCATGTTTTCTTTCCTTCGCCTCCTTTTCTTTTCTCTCTTTCGGGTATTCTTCTTCCATCTCAAGCCACCCCTAAGCAAGAGTTTCGAAGAATCTTAGCGAAGCCTACTCCAGGGCAAGTACAGGCAGAACTCGTGAGTCATTCTGCCGTGGCACGATATCACTCATGTGGATAAGCTCCCCTCGTGCTTATAGCTATTGTGAAGCATCCTCGTACCGCACAAGGGAAGCTAACCGTGGATGAGGATTTTTGTAGTAGCAGCCGAAACAAGAATTACTTTGAAACGCGAGTATGGACGGGGAGCTAGGTACAAGGTCGTTATTGTGACTGACTCTCCGTATACAGAACATTTCGTGCAACTAATCTGGTTTGTAGCTGTGTTAGCTATCTGAAATAGGCCAGTTTTAGAATGCATTGGATAGGGAGCCTCAAAATATAGATGTGAACTGACAAGTACCTATCTTTGACCCACATCATAATTATTTTTAAAAACAAGGCATAATGGTGTTGACAAAGATAAAGATATTGCACCTTATTACGAATATTGTAGGCGTGACCGGAGGCTAATGAAAAAAGATCTCTATTCTTTAAGATAAAATAATGCTTAGTATACTATTTAGCCAAAATATAATTAAGGGATAACTACTCCGAATACCAAAATATAAAATTCCCTTAGTCATCCAGTTTACGAATATATATATATATATATATCCCTTCCATATCAAATTCATCTAACCCAGCTTGAGTCGAACCAAGTGATTAACAACCGTAGCAGCATGCTTTTCATAATCTCCTGAAATCACGTCAGCTTAGCACTTGTAGATATATCAGAGCAGCAGAAGCAGGAAAGAGCACAAAGCTCCAACCCTCTTTAGTCCAGTACTTCACCCGTCCGTACCACCGAACTCCGACCTAGAACAATCCAAAGGCCGGCTAGAGACGAATTAGAAAGCCATGTACTACCATCACGCGGTAGCACAACGACGACTCAGATCAGGACACCAACCCCATCCCTCGATCTTTCACGATTCACTTCTAAGCTCCCAACCCCCACATCGCAGATCCCTCACCCGGGAACGACGCCGTCAAACCAAACAAAGGCAGATGACTAAGTAGCTGCCATACATGGCCTGGGCATGCATGCGCGCAAGTACGACATTAGATCTACCGAAGGCACCTACCCGTGTCGCCAAGCAGGGCGGCGTTCCATGTCGATCGGATCATGTAGCCTTCCGCCACCGCCAGCTTGGCGCCTGTAAGGAACAGCATACACCCCGTGCGTGATTTGGACTATTTACCGAGACTGGATTTTGAATAGAGGAGAAAAAAAAGGATACGAGTAAGAAACATCAGCACGCATTCTTAAAACATCAATGTAATGGCACCTCTCACAAACGGATCGCCATATGACGTGGCCGAACGAGCAATTGGCCTCGTAGCGGTAGGTGGTATCTTTAGTCATGATTAAATACTAGGTATCCCGGTCCCCTATTTCGCCGCGCGCCCGTCTCCAAACCGAGGAGTCCCTCCCCTTGAGTTTTATGTACAAAGATCTAGATATACAGTAGCCTCTTTCATACCCCAAGCTGTTGTATGGTACATGACCGTCATCAGAAGTAACCACTCCGATGACTAACGCCGCTTTAACCCCCCTCGGATAAATATTCCAAATGCCAGCTAAGACTCATATTGGTGATACCGATTTTAAAAAGAAAATATATCCTCCCAAAAATGCGCGCTCGTGAGAGATAGCGAAACTTCATCTAGACGCCCGCTCACTCGTAAATATAAATACTCTAGATTGCTTGCAAAATGGGTGACAGTCGGTATGGAATACTATTTTTCAAGTACCGCTGACCCCGTCTGAAAAGAGAAGTAATGGCCACTGCATGGTGGCCGTAGTAGTCGTAGGGGTCCCGTTGATAGGTACTGCTATACCTAGCCCGTTAGCCCCGGTGCCGTCGACGTGTGTACCGGGTCTCGGATCGGAACTACCTAAGGACATCAGAGCAGTAGCGCTATATCTCTCTTGGTTGTCTACGATGGCTGCCGTCCAGTCCTGCCAGGTATTTCCTCCTGAAGGCTGCTGCCGCCACATTATATGTGCTGGCTGTGCCATCTGCGCTGTTTGTGTAGCAAACGTTGTAAGTGGATCGTGATCCGTTGCTTGGACTTGAGCTTGTGCTTGGGCGTGCGCGTGCGCATGAGCCTGCACTTGACCTACGGCAACCTGGCCAGGTGCTTGCGTGTATAGAAAAGAATTGTTCGGGTCGTAGGCGATAGTATTGGTTGGATGTGTAGTAGAGTCGGCGTACGAAAGCGAAGGGTATGTTCCCGACTCGGAACTTGCTTCTGTGTAGTAATTGTTGCGCTGTGCTGCGATGACGTGGCTTGCTGAGCCATTTACCGACTCTGTATCGTTATGGCTGGGGTTAGAATTTGGTGCCACAGGTAGACTGACATAAGCTGGCGAGTGTGGGGACTGTTTAATTATGTCTTGTGATAGGGGTAGTTGCTGAACAGGCTCGTTGGTCTTTTGAACTTGAGCATGTTCTATCCAAGTGATGGTGCGGTCTATAATAGAGGATACCGCATCATGGAGACCCATGCCGCAGTCTATAATAGTAGGCACGCTATTAGTACCTTATGAAACTGAACCCGAATTATAAACTTACCCATCATATTGCCAGTCTCGGCGAGGAGAGTTAACCATAGTTTCATATCCTCACGAAGGGCTTGGACCTCGGCCGCGCTGGTCTCATGCCGCCTTTCCCAGTGCGCAACTAAGGTCGAAAATATCGCTGTGACATATATAGCAAGACAATACCATGTAGTGTCTAGAGACTTTAATCTGTACAATTTATATAGAATTCCAAGCAAATCTTTTGCAGTATCTTCACATATCTTCGTGTTTTCAGCTATTATTTTTGAATTATTTGCTATACAGGCGGCCGGGTGCCGTAATGTGATTCCTTGAACACTTTGTTAGTAACCGGTATATAGAAGATGCCGCAAGGCGGTGAGCTTTAAGGGATCATTTATATGATTATCGATAGAAAATCCCGGAATATAAGTCATAGGTGGGGTTTGTCATTGAGCGTTGGGGAGCGCTTACTAAATTCGAGGGCCATATATTCGGCGTAAAGAGCAAACATAGATTGATCATGCTCGGGTTGCCCCATGCCACGGTACTTTAAGCCGGGAGGGAGATTTTCTCTCCACGCTTCGAGTTGTTCTTCGAGCGCCTCAACTACGGGAAGATATCTGTTCGGATCCTTTCTTGTGCAATATATGTTCGCAAACATCTCAAGAAATAACGCAGATATTCTGAAGGCGGAGACGCCAATCTCGTAGCGGCACGTGGCTGTTCTTGTGGTATCAACTCCATCCTCAGTCAGAAGTTCATCCGGTATCGTCTCTGGAAATTCAGTATCGATATCTTCCAACCGAATGGGCATAGGACGTCCCATTCGGCCGTTTAATGTAACAGCTGTCGAAACGATGGCCCACCATATCCGCTTTCGAAGCTCATTCTCAAGGTTAGTTTCCTCGCCGGGGCTCTTCCAGGCGCGGTGCAAGTTAAGTTCGATAGCCATAGCCAGAGTATAGTTGCTTAACATATTACTAGTTGTAGACTTGGGAAACCGCATTGTGTGTACACAGAGCATAGCTAAGGCTTGAACGTCGTATAGGGTCTTGGATGTGGAGAGGTCGAAAAACTTGCTTAAAGCAAAGTGGTAATGTTTATTGGATAGGTCGTTTAAGCGAGCCCTCTGATCAGGTTGTTCCCGATTCCGGATTCCATATTGGAGGTATATCGAGGCAAATACTAGATGAATCATGGTAGTTTCGGCTACGGTGGGTTTGAAATTAGGGTCGTCGTAAAGACGCGATAGCTGAGGCGATTATTTAATATGAGATGAAACGAAATTTAGGTATAACAATGTGTACTTACAAGTGTCATAAATGTGGGCTTATGTAGGACTGGGTGGAAGGGGTAAATCATAAGGAAATACCATTCGGCGTACGTGAAAGCGTCATCTCTAGGAGGATAGTCGACATGCAGTGCCGGGTTGATATTTGTAACAGACTGCATCATAGCCTGGGCGGATTTGTTGTAAACCGCAGTGTGAGCTGGAGCATCAGGAGAGGGCTCGTCCATGTCCGGTGCATCGAACGATCCGATATCTATAGTGCTTCCGAGAATCGATAGAGTCATGCCTTTGATGGAACTCAGAGGAGCCTGGTCCGCACCAACTCCTATATGAGCGTCTGTCGGTCTTGGCTCAACAGCGGAACGCAATGTGCTTGCGTAAGGTATACTAAAGAGCCGATTTCGATCCTTCGTCCAGGCAGACGATCCGGGCTGGTTCCACGGAGTCTTTCCTATGGAATCTGGTATCTGACCGCCTAGGTTATCAATACCCCCATCAGTAGAGTTGTTGGCTGAAGAGAATGAACGCGAGTGTTTAATTTCAACGCCATTTTGATAAAGCAGCTTTTCCAATTCCCGAATATGATTTAACATATCTATCTTCTCGCGCTCTAACTGTTGCATATATCCTCTTCGTTCCGTCCGGCCTGTGACTCGATCTGTCACGTAACATTCGAGGTTCTGGTTGATGCAATGCGAGCAGCCCTCGGGCAGAGCATCGCAGCGGATCTTGCGAACCTAACATGATCTATGTTAGATCTTGGCTGCTTGGTATTGGACAGAAGAGTGAAGAAGCACAGCGTGGCTAAATTCGACGAACGGTGTTGTTGGGGGATTCGGTGCAACGGTTGTCTCTCGTCCCTCCTTTATTTCTTCCTCTAACGTAACCGGATGTTCAGATTAAAAAACATACCTTACACCGGTCGCATGCTTGTCCGGTCCTTGTATAGGATTGAAGCTTGCTCTTTACGACGCTCGAGAAATCGCTAGGAGCGGCACGGTCGCGGTCTAGGCGAGGCAGCTTGCATTTGGCGGCGCCATCGGAAGGGTCGAGGTCGGTAACGTCACCAGGCCGTTTCGGCGGACGGCCTGGAGGCATGGCAACACGAAGCTTTGGAGGCCCGCGATTTGGGAAAAAAAAAAAAAAAAAAAAAACCTACAGACCTACAAGACTTGCGGTTCGTTGGCGCACAATGGTTGGAGCTTGTTTCGCGACAAATCGAAAATGGAGTTTCCCGAAACTCTAAGACCGGACGACTTGGGGAGGGCCTTACCTAATAAGAGCTAGCAGGAGAAGGCAGTAGCAGCAGGAGGCAGTTTAAATTCAGTGCAAGCACTTAAGGTACGCAACCTATGCAGGCGTGCATGTATTGCATGTATGTACCTATATTAGCATACATTATGTATATCTTACCCAGATAAGGGTACATATTGTACATGTGTACATACATAGGTACCTACATACACGGACTTTGAAAGTCTACCTATGTAGGTAGGTAATCTGAGCTCAACTTTAAAAGAGCTTAATTCAAATTAGCTTTACGTGCACAGCCTCCCTCTTCAAGTTCATTTTCAAGTTTATTTTCAAGTTAATTATTTAGTATAGGAAGGAGTACGAAATGTCCGTCACAGGAAATGTCAACGGGGAAACGGAATATACCGCCGTGCTCGGCCTTGATTTTAAAAACCGTCGTGCATTATTCAGATCGAACGGGTCTCAACCAACGATACGGAGATGACGGGACCACGGGTTTTTTTGGTTAATTTTTAATTTTTTATAATTGTTAGTGATAGCAGCGCAGGGTGCAGTCAGGGTGCCATCAGGGCGTCGTCTGCTTGTCTCATTCGTCATTTGCTACCCGCCATGAAAACCTCCACCCAGGAGCGACATGTCTGTTTCTGCAGAGCTCGCACCAGCCAGGACGCAAGGAGCCGACCAAGTCGGGGTTTTGTCTAAAATCAGGAATCCGATCGATATTCAAAAAGTACGTGCGAGTGCGAATCCGAGCATCATCGGCAGACATACGAAGCTTCAAACGTCTCGATCGAACCATCCTGCAAGTCAATAAAGGTATTAATCGGTAGTCGGATTGGAATTCCAACGACAGCCGATTACGACAGACCTGTGGCTTACTAGGGAGATCAACCTCATACGATACGGATGTTTAAAAGACAAAGTCAGATCATGAGATTAACGACATAATTATAGTTGTCATATGCCAGTTAGTTATACTATATTAACTATTAACTTCACAGTTATAAAATTGCAGGAGGAAAAAGGAACACGTATCATACAAAGTTCCTGTTATACAGAAGCCGTGCTAGCGTCCTTCAGGAGCCTCTCGACCTTTGCTTAACCCGGTCACGATGGGGTTTCTAGAAGGATGGGTTGACGTACCTAGATGACGGAGCCGCCACAATTACGCAACAAAATAAGAACCTAAAATAGACTTACCATGACGGGTATTAGGGGACCATGCTTCAACTTGAATAGGAGAACATTATTTTCATTTCCATTTACGTTTTCATAATTTGGCTATGTTAGGGAGTGTCGGTACTGAAGCGGTAAGAATCTCTAACTTAGGTGTCATAAGCCTTACCTGCTTCGTCCGCTTCACTCTTTTTTCTTATATATACACGGCGAAGAATGTTGGGGACGGTGGTGGCTTGAAGCGTGGGTGATGAAACGAAGTGAACCAGATGGTTGGGTTCCTCATTCCATTTGTTAGTATATCATGGGGCTGGGCCTCTTCATATCTAGGTAGGTAGGTAGGTACGCAGGGAGGACCAATCCTCGAAGTTGAGATGTGACGTTTTTTTTTTCTGAAAAAAAGGGGGGTTAAGTTCAATACCACCAGGAAGATATCGATACCAAAATATATAGAATAGTAAGCGAACCAGCTGCTGTCAACTGTTCGTCGTGCCCCTCCATACATACCTATGTACCCCTCTCCCCTAGTGGACCTATCTAGTGAAACCCACTATCAGTTGTCATCCCAAGCATCTAACCTACAACTACTGCATACCTAGGTAGGTAGGTAACTACAGTATCATCACCATCCACCCCGGCGACTTGGATTTATAACCCCCTCAATACTAAAGAGACGGAATCTCGGATTATTTTCCAACGGGGTAGCCAATAAATAACAATGGCCTCTCCAAGCGATAGTCAAGCAGCATCATCAAGCTTCATAGAAACCATCAAGCTCGAACACGTGCCTTCAACATATACAGTTCTCGTTGGTCTCTTTAAGGATGTTACAAACGCCGAGTTCCTACAACAGCAGCTTCTTAGCCGGAATGCTAAGTATGAGTATGCTTTCATCGACGCCAGTTCTGTATGTTCTCGTCCTTTAAGTTTGTATATCTATCACGTCGTCTACTCTCATTTCCTAAGATTGGTGTGTAAATACATGTACCTATATAAATCGGGATACGAAAACACTTATATTACCTACGTAGTCATGTTTGTCCCTTCAGCTTATAATACTGGAGCGAAGCGAAATAAAATCGATGTTAGAAAGAAGCTATACTAACCTGATTATCTCACCACCAATAGGTAATATCGCGCGTTCAAGTCTTGGCCGCCGTATACAAATCGATAACGATACACATGAGCGGTAGCATGAAGACGCCCAACGTTCATTCTGAGATTGTGTGCTCCCTCAGCCCAAACAACAATGTATGTAGCAATACGTCTTGCCCCCTTCTCATTTCACTCCCATCCATAAACTCGTCAACTTACTCGCATATCTAACAATATCCAGATCTCAGAAGCCTACCGCCGCCTCGGCATCACACCAAGTAGCAAAGACCTGATCATCGCCAAAGTACTAATATCACCCTCCGCCCTAACACCCGAAGCAGTACAGCAGCACCTCCTCGACAACGTTCAAGGCACACCCGCGCCATTCACAGACGAGGTCCTGCAATCGGGCCTTACGGACCGGGCCAAGGTACGCAAGTACTACAAGCTGAACGGTGTTGGTTGGCTGGACGGCATTAAGGACGAGTCCCTCCAACGTAGGGAAACCGAGCTACTGGTGCTTGGGGGCATGGCACTGAGAAGCCTCTAGTTATAGATCTTAAAGAGAGGAGCGAAAAGGACGTAGTTTACCTAAGGTAACCATGTATAACATTGATAGTGGCTATTGATAGCTTTCGGCGTTACAACCGTAAGTTTTCCCCTGGCAAATTGAGGTGGTCCGGATCTCCCCTGACAGTAAATACCTGTAATACCTACATCGGAATCCTATTAATTCGTAATTCATTGCGCTCGCACACCTAGACTTGGTAGGGTAGTTGTGTGCTTCTCTATCGAGTACCCTGTTGGTACTCAACTTGCTTTATGCCGCACCTGCTCTAACTCGTACCTCTTAACCTTAATACACCTCACGCCGCCGCCGCCAATCCCAGAGAGGTCCTAAACCGCCTCTTAATCTCATTCCACATGGCATCACGCCCGCTCTTCGTTCTTGCTACTGCGTCCTTGTTTTCGTTCGCTCTCCTGAGCAAGTACTTCATGCACTCGCCTGTAGTGCCCCAAACGATGTACTTATAAGCCTTTGGCACGTCGCCCTTCTCCTGGACGTAGCCGTCGCATCGCCGTGACGCACAGACTAGCTCGCAACTGACCTCATCCGCCATGCCCTGCAGCTGTGCGATCGCCAACTCCGTGGTACGGTCAGACTGCTCGCTATCTCGGATTGCCCGTGCCCGGCGCACCGACTCTAGATTGTGAGACCCTAATATGATACTGACACGTGGGAATTTGAGGCCTTCTTCCGGTGACTTTAACACGGAACCCCACTGCCGGCAGATAAGGCTCGCCGCGATTCCATTGTACGTCGTGTCTGTGTCAGCTTTGGTATCATGGATGATGTACCGTGGATCTAAGCCGAGGTATGCGCCACGCACGAGCTTGACACCTAACGTAAAGCCCTCCTTGGCGGCTAGCGCGAGGTGTTCACTCAGTGTCGCTGCTGTGGATTTCAAATAAGCTTGATATGTGCCATAGATAAGAGCGTGGCCTGGTATCTTGTTATGCTTGCGCTGGTACTCTAAGGTCCAGTCGTCGATGCCGGCCTGAACTGCCATCTGTTCGGCGTCGAAGAGTAGGGGCACATCCCTCTTCGCAGCTAGGGCACAGATTTCGTCGATAGCCTTGCGCAGATGCTTCGGCGGTGGTAGGCGATTCTTAAGCGCATACAATGCTTGCCGTCCGGCGCCAGTAAACTTGAGCGCGACGAAATCCCCAGGCTGTGCGAGTGTCACCGTCTCCAAGGTCCCTGCCGCCCAGGGACCAATTTCGTTACGTACGCATTCCTCGGCTACGGGTCCCTCTTCGCACGCCGAGAGCTTCTGAGTCTGTACGTCAGTGAGGACGATCTCCCTGGCGTACCCTAGGATAACACCTGTAAAGCCGATCTTTTTGAGGCCGTCGATAGTATGATGGACCTCGGCCGCATTCTCACCCGCGCAGAATTGCGCGTAGAACGTCTTCTTTAAGAACCAACGGAGTAAGGGGTTTTTATCCGGGTTGAGGACTGGCTGATTGGAGTGTGCGAGGATGTTCATGATGGCCAATGAAGGAGGTAATAGAATTGGAGAAGATGATATGCTAGTAGTGGCTAGATTACGTAGCACTGTGGACAGAGGAAGAACTGATAGTGGTGATGGCCTTGTTGAGGAAGAGTGTATCTTCCTTCTCGTCGTCGAGACTACCCTGATCTTCTGGTTCGAGCCATTGCGGCTTACGACATAAAGGCCGCATTGGGGATTCCTCATCGCATTTACATATATTGGTAGAAGGGACGACCTGCTTAACACCGAAACTCGTACCATTGTTAGCGTTTCGTGGTACTTGGACGGCTTTGAAAGTTGAAAGTAAACTAGAAAGGCTATGAGAGATAAAGGATAGTAAGGTACGAGCGAGGGATATAAGTATAAATGGCACGAATGGGAGCGCTTGCGTAGGTATAAAGAACAAACAGGAACAATGGAAAGTATCAGTATGGAGCGGGATGCTGTACTTTAACTACTACACATGTATCTTAGGTTTCTACTGCTGTGTATTCTAGGTGAATTCTTTATCTCCGGCATCGCAACAACCTCAGTCGCGGTAGTGACTGAACCCCGACTGGAGCGCATCGTATGGTATCGAGGAGACACCTCGAGAATGGCGGATAGTCTACCTCGAAGCTCCGATATTCCAATCACGACTCGACGACAATCCACCAGGAGTTCTTATCGTTGATGATCACGTGGACCCATCAAGTCCGAGTGCCGTCTATAGCCGTGATGCAAAGATGCAGTAAATGCAGCCATTGTCCAATCAGAAGCCGCACTGTGGGGCAGCGGCATGAGAGGTCCCGAAAGAGTGAGTAATAGACTGAGGCTAGTGCGCGTAGTCGACCTGACAGCCTGACAGTCCCCTGGCATAAGCATGGTCCGGTCCGGTTGTTGAAGGTGGCCGAATATAGCAAGAATATCCTGCGCTGAGATCCTGCATGGTTCGAGGCCTCCGCGCTTAACGTGGGGTACACTAAGCCAAGCTGACTGGTAGACCTTGACATAGTTTTGCAGACAGAGATTATATGCGACGTTGGCCGAACCCGCTGATTCATAATGATGGCTTGTCGGGTAAACTATAACGTAACTCGATCTCGAGTAAGCCACGTGCCTTATTAGCTAACTAGTCAGAATGCCGTCGAAAAATGGCCTGTACTATAGTGGCCAGTATCTTTTTTGGCGGCATTCTACCAGCGTCTTAGTAGCCATGATGACCCTTTTCTTCCTCTGCAATGTACCTAGGTAAACACCGCGTCTCATCCGAACAAGTGGATAAGCCGTCTAGTGCGGTTATTATAGCACTACTCCTATGCATGGAGCCGCAGTGTAGATATACTGTTAAGGCCGAGACCGAGCTAAAGCCTACAGCCCTTTGCGACGCTCTCGGCACAACGCGGATGTAAGTGGATGTCTACAAATCCGTGATGTTAATAACCCCAGTTTCATGTCGTCTTCTCCTCAAGTTGGGTGACCTTTCCGATATGCCTCCGGACGAACTCGATATACCCAACAGACCGACCTTTGGCAAGAGACACCATGTCCTGGGCAGCACCGTATGCGAATCCGAATATGAGGCCTTTTCTAGCAGTCCTCGCAGTTTCCGCAGCTGAAAAGCGATCTACATTGAGATAAATAATTAGATCAGGATAAATCAAAGCGACCGGATCAAAGGTTATTAAATAGAAGAAAACCCCATACTCCAAAAACTGAAGCCACCAGCCACAGCTAGGCTGGCCATCACGGTACTGAAAAGATCCTTGGTGCCTCGGTATACATCAAACAGATTCTCGGCGCAGAACATGGAGGTACTCAGAACACTGAGCCTCGCACCGACCTTAAATCCTTCCTTCAGTCCACCATATGCCAGATGGTAGTTCTTGCTTTTGTGATATAGGTACCACCCGGTTGTAGTTGTAGGTAGTTTGTGAGCATGTTCGGCTCTAAACCGTAAGCCGGCCATCTTACTACCTTGGGCGAGACCCAAAGTCATGCCTACACCAAATGCTGTCGACGCCGCAGCTGGAATGCGAATCAAAGGCGGAATGGATAAGCGGGAGTCTTTCCATAGCTGAGCATATTCTTCTCGAGTGGGCGACCACTGACGCCTAACCTCGCTGTCAGATTCTGTCATATTGGACTGCACTACAATCTTGATATAGATAGAAAATTGTACGGCGTTGATTATTCGGCAGAAAGAATGAATCTTTGGGGGTTTAGGCAAGTGGAAAAGCCTTACAAATTACCTAAGACTACCTAGGTACCTTAGGTATCGCAAAGTTATCCCGTACCTGCCTTAGAAAATTCAAAGCTGAAAAGTTTAACCTAGACCCACTCGGCCTAGGTATGTACACTATGTACATCCTCAGACCCTGCAGGCACTTTACGCGGGCCACGTGCAGTCGCGATTTGAGCTACAAGGTGGGTACATCACCTCTATCTTTATCTCCGCCGTGAAGAAGAATTGTCGCGTTGTAAAGCTGAGAATTTACCTAATAAAGTGCGGTTTACAAATTATCATCTTACTTGGATATTTCTCATGAATTAAGATGGTAAGTTCATGTTCACTCATATAAAGGCCTTATAACCGTAAAGTACATCTCAACGTTGTATATATGGAAGCCTCTTAGTGGCCCTTCGAATTTCACGTTATACATAAATATTCATTCGTTACTCATTTGCTCACTCCAGCATAGGATGTCAATGATATCGACCTGTCTCTACGCTTTAAGCATGGTATCCATACCGTCTTCTTGTTTGTCGATCCATCAAGACCCTTCGGCAGCATAGCAGAAGACCTTTTGGAAGCTCTAAAAGCACGCTACCCCTCGGGATTGACTACTTTGCTCTCGTCGCCGGACAAGACCGAGCTACCGAACAATCATCTACAGATCAAGTTCGCGTCACCAAAGATACCTGCTGACCTCAGCCAAGGCTGGAATCCTCTTGAAGTTGAAGAGAAAGATACCCCGGTTAGCAAAGACATCAAGGACAACAGCATTTTGGCGTTCGCATTCTGCCCTGAGGATGCAGACGAGGACTATGAGCCTGAGTTCACGGTCGAGCTCCCTAGCTTCGACGAGGAAATGGAGGAGCAATAAGGATAGCAGTAGAGGGACGATGTTCATGAGACATGACTTAGGACATGATGGCTAGCCGCGATGGAATGCAAGTTTGGAAGAAGAGCGGCTTTCAGATCTCTAGGGACACGGAATGGGTAGTTCTCAAACTCATAGCTAGGAAAACCTTGGGAAGTCTTGCCGTAATTCGAGTATGGAATGACAACCGCCCTATGGGTAGGTATCTCAGAGACTCATATTGGCATATGAGGTTTAGATAAGAAATCGACAGTAAATAATAACACGCAGCAAGGCGCTCAAATTAGGTAAACCAAACGTGAATGAAGTCGTTGCTATTGTTGTTGACTACATCGAGAAATTTAAATCCTCCGATATTTAAAACATGATTAACGTACATAATTTGCCAATAATCAGTAAATATGAAGCTGTACCTGTTTGTGCCTTCGGTCCGTATTGGCACATTTAGCAACAAAACCGGCGCGCGGTTAAGGACCCCAAAGCGCTATAATATCCGACAGCCGGTCCTTCTGTTAGTGGGTTAAGTGGGACATCGGTATTATATTGTACATGCCAGGGTCGCCAGGGGTTTAGGCATGTAAGAGGATCGACCCCTATTTTTATCTTTTTTTCCAAAAACTTCTTTGACAACACACAACTATGCCTGAAATGTTTATTCTTTTCCTTCTCAAGTACCATTCTTAGGTACGATTTGTTATCAACAGGCTTTGGCCATATGCCGCCTTCTACATGTCCCCTGCGACTCTTCTTCGCAATACTTTGCGATCCCTCATCCCTCTTGCGGTAGCTTGTACTTTTTACTTGTATCTTTATCCTGTCTTTCTTGGCTGTGCGTTCCCACTCCCACAAACAGAGGACAACGTCGCCGCGTTTCAGGACACGGTGCGACAGCATGTCCTTTCGAATTCAAGTACTGCCGCACCGTTCCGGCTTCTCGCACTTGGCGATCCACAGTTAGAGGGCGATACGTCCATCCCAAATTATAACCGCGAATCTTTCCCTCATTTAACATGGGCCATTCGTCACCTTACCTACAAGACTGATCACCCGTCTCTACGTAAACGCCTGCGACAGGTAGTGCACGATATTGTCGATATCTTCTTCGACGATATTCCCGACACGTTCGAGTCGATTCGCAAGCGGATAGACTTGTTTGGAAACGACTTCTATCTTGCCCACATCTACCGGACGCTACGATGGTGGACAAAACCCACACATGTTACTGTTCTGGGGGACTTGCTGGGAAGCCAATGGATCAAGGAGAAAGAGTTCAACCAGAGGAGTTGGAGGTTCTGGAACCGTTCGTTTAAAGGAGGCGAGCGTGTCCCCGATGAAGTTGCCGCCTATCCTGCTGAGGAATATGATCTAGCTGGATTCCTAGGTGTTGAGGATGATAACTCTGCGGCCTGGCGCCGCAGAATTATCAACGTAGCCGGAAATCACGATGTCGGCTACGCCGGCGACCTGACAGTCGAGCGACTGGAGCGATTCGAACGTGTCTTCGGCAAAGCCGCCTACGAGCTACGATTCGAGCTACCCATTACCAACCCAGCAGCCAATGCGACTATCTACAACGAAAAGAGTAATCCCGACTCCGATCGTTTAGCTCCTGAGCTCCGGATTCTTAACGTGAATAACATGAACCTTGATACTCCGGCTGCCGACCAGAGCCTCCAGGACAAGACGTATGCCTTCGTAAACGATGTCATTAACACGGCCACTGCGGTCGAGTACCAGGGCCAGTTCACGCTTGTCCTAACACACATACCGTTGTATAAGCCCGAGGGTGTCTGTGTTGATGCCCCTTTCTTCGATTTCCATGCTGGTGGCGGCGTTAAGGAGCAGAACCATCTATCACCGGATGCATCTCGTGGGTTCTTGGAAGGTATCTTTGGGTTGAATGGCGATCCAAGCGCACCAGGGCACGGCACGGGTCGCAGAGGTGTTGTGTTGAATGGACATGATCACGAAGGCTGCGATACGTACCATTATATCAACCAAACGGAAGAGGGCGAGGAACGTCAATGGCGGGTTACCCGGTGGCCCGCCGCCAAAGCAGACGAGCTTCCTGGAAAACCCGGAGTTCCAGGTCTAAGAGAAATCACTGTTCGAAGTATGATGGCTATGTATGGCGGCAATGCTGGCTTGCTCAGCGTCTGGTTCGAAGAGGATACCTGGGAGTGGAAATACGAGTTCGTCACTTGCGCCCTAGGTCGTCAGTATTTTTGGTGGTTTGTCCATGTATTTGACCTCGTCGTCCTTGTCGCTATGGTAGTCTACGGCGCCTTGCAGGCAGCAGTAGCAGCTGGTTTTGACATCGATAAATGGCTAGTAGCGAAAACCGATGCCCCTCCTATTACAGTCAGCGTTACCGCAAATGGAAACGGTGTTAAAAGGCCCGTTCCGATTGGTAACGGCGAAGCTATGAAATAGATTATCTTATATAACAAGTAACGGGTGTACAGCATGGAAGTGTAACGAGTCATGAGTACCTTGTACCAATATAAAACATAGATTAGACAACTAACCTAGTAGAATACCGATATTAGTATAAGCATTGTCATGTGTATGAATTTCCTTCCTATATGTGACTTGAGCTGCAATTATAGAATTCGAACTAGTTAATATGAATCAAACGAGCGTATCTTAGACCTCATTATAACTTGAAATCAATAACCACAGCATGAACTCGCAGGCTCGAATCTGCATCTGCTCCATTAGCAAATCGTGTGAACACCGATAGTACGTTGTCATAATCCAGCCGCGTGGTGTCAACTAAGGGCTCCGTCGGCGGGAATCCGTTCTCCCGCCATACGAGTTCGTACTCGGAGTAGTTAGATTCCTTAGACGCCTTTAAGACTGTCAAGACTGGCACTGTGTGATCCGGCAGGATAAGATACAGGTCGCCATCTTTGCTTACGGCCAGCCGTCCTCTCTTGCCCCCTTTTACGCCCTGGACGTGAGGGATGGTACGTTGTGTCCAGACGCCTGTTTTTTTTTTGGTTGGCACATCTTAGCACATTTTCTCGTAGCAACAATTAGGGGGAAGGGAAATGTGAACAAAAAAAGAAATAAAAAACGACAAACCTTTCGGTGATCGATAATAATGTTTCCACTTCTGCTCGCCATCCACCGCATCCCGATTCAACACATGTACCCCTCCCTCATGATCGATAGCCTGTGCCTCCTGATTTGAGAGCCCCGAGCCCTTAGGAATCTCAAACGCCACGATCCCCGGTGCATCAGGTCGTACACTCTCGCCCTTCGCCAAATCCGCAATCAAGTCCCCCGCCCCGTTCCTCCAGGTCCGGCCCCCGTCGTCGGAGTACGCATAACAGATATTGTGATTATTCTCCGCGGAGTTCGGCCCGCGTTGTTGCTTATGCTTGATATCCAGCGGGTCGTCCCAGCCCTCGTACCACACGAAACCTCGGTACACCCACGTCGCGTGCAGTCGACCGGCGCGTATGTCTAGGCCGTGGATATAGGGGTTATTATCGACACCTTTAAGATTTGTGCCTAGAATTATGTACCCGTACGATGTATCCTTCTGCGGTCCGTATATAGCTAAGTGGTCGTCGCCTAGACCGGCCTTTCCAGTGCGGAACGAGAAGAGCAGGTTGCGGTCGAGTTGCACGAAGCGCGGGTATGTAACATAGCTGAGTAGCTCGTCGTGTTCTTCTCCAAGACCGGGGAGCTGCGATAGGTGTGGTGTGAAAAGAGTGACGGACCACGGGAAGGATTCTGGGGTGTGGGCGACGCCGGGTTGGGAGTAGCGATATCTTATTCTATCGTGTTGTAAGTACAGGATCTAGTAGCTGCGTTTTTTTAGGCGTGCCATGGTATCGTACCTGTCGCAGTGGTGATCATACGAAAGATGGATGGTGCCGTCTCCGGGACAGATACCGAGCTTACGTCTTACTCAGCATGCTTCTTTTCTCCATTCTCAAGGTATTTGTTTATATTACCTGTATAGTGTTGTGGCCATCATCTGTTGTCTGGGGATAATCCTCAAAGATCAGAGTCTCCCACTTGCCCTCTGGAAGTTTTCTACGTGATAGATGGATATACAACGGTTCTTGAGCGGAGTCCGCCGATAGAGAGCTGTAGAAACTTGCATACTGCCACCCATTGTATGATTGGATAACATCCTGCTGAAACGCGTTGCCGTTCAGGACGCAGTTCCGGTGCGTCGGGTCCAGTCCAAGCACCGATACGGATGGTTCAGCCAGCATTTTCTTCTCTTCTATTTTGTTCAAGAAAAATATATGAATGGTAACGAGGGATAAGCCTGGAAGGAATGTAGTAGAACGTAGCGCGCCGGTAGAAGACGGTAAGAGGCTAAATGCAATTACAAAGATCTGCCGCTTGATGTGACAATATCGTCTTCTAGAATCAGGCGGTTCGCGATAGTGTCATAATAAATTGCGCGTAGCTTAGATGCTAGCAGATACTATGTCTAATTATGACTATAGCCTATCTCCGTAGTCAATCGATTTTACAGCAATGCCCGTATGATGGAGCTAGTATTCAACTATGTATTGTTTGAACGACCAAGTGCCGGTATAGCAATCGACCGAGTTGAAGACCGATAGGGTGGACAAAAGAGCCTCGAGTCGAGGCGTGATCCGCAATAGTTGAAACAACCTATTAAACAATACGAAGTACCCCGCGCATGTAGGTGATGAGTTGAGATGGAGGATCTTATTCGATAATTACGACGTACTGCTTTTTTTTCTTTCTTTTACAGGTTACTGTATACTCCTTCAAGATACTTTTTGTAGCTTCAATATTTTGTGATACGTATCTCTTATGTTATTCTCCCCTGAATATACTTACACATATCGTCCTTGCATACAGTTCTATATTTCAGCGTCGTTACGAGCTCTCGGGGACCTACTTGTATACTGAATAGTCTCTGTCTCGAATTGCTTTCTATGTACATAGTTGAAAGGAATATATCCCATCAATAATTACACCGATATCAAGATCTTCTGTATATTCTTATTTGCGTAATAGAATCTTCACCATCAAATATCAAAGCTCTTCATATTCATACGAAGCAATCTTCCCTAAACTTACCTTTATTTGGTTTGTCCCGGCTTGTCTCCCCCGCATTGAGCCTAAGATGATGTCCATCTCCGTAGTGGAGGTCAACCGTCGCTCTGAACCTGTCAGGCTGGTTGGTCGGATCTACGCTAAAAAACTAGGAGAGCTTTCCACACCACCTCAATATTCGGCCCTGAATTCTAACTCCCAGAGGTACATCTCCACTTCTCCTACAACCTCGACTTCTAACCCTGTCAGCATATCCGTAACTCCAAAAGGTGTTCTGCATTTGGACTCTTACGATTTATGTGATGGGACGATAATGGTTGACATCTTTGCCGAGGATATAGAATCCGCAGTCGTACGAAATATCTCATGTCTATAGAAGAGAATACATATAGCTTCGATTATCTTTGAATCTAAGCGCCATTGAATCTCTCTAGTAAGGATCTGGCCCCGAATCTACGGAATAATTCCCCAACCCTGGCTACTCCAGTCCCCCAGATCCTTTAGTCTTGGTGTTCCTGGCGGCCCATGGGGTAAAGAGAGGACCACAAGCCTACACAAGGGTGGGCTATCGGTGTACTTGCTAGGATTTCCTCGGTACAATACAGCGAGCCCCAGCACCTTTCATCCAGGCTGTCCGGTTAATCTGTTTGGTGGAAGAATACAAAACTTGCCCATTTCCCATTTTCCACCCATCGGGCTCCAGGCCCAGATCTTCCATTCCGCCAAGCTGTGCGTTATCCTGACCCTGGTACCCAATAACGTAGTACTGCAGCAAGGCGAGAGAAACCTCTATCGGCAGCTTACCCGCAGAATGCATCTCTTAAAGTAGGGTCTCGCCGCCCATCTCGTCCAGCACTGCTCGTCTGTCTTTCTTCTCGCGTATCGCTAAAGATTCCCGGATGATAGCGGCGTGCCTGTTCACGATAAAAGAGAGCACCGCGGGTAAATAAGAGACGTCGAAATAGGGAATAGCAGTCTGGAATTTATCCCATCTATCGACAATCATGTCGTCCTTATTAAGGTATATCGTCAAAAATGATGCGATGAAAAATGATCCTAAGGAGATCTATGGATGGAGGGTCTATCTTCTAGCCTGTTCTGTAAGCAATTACTCATTTTTATAATAAAATCATCTCGTATATAACTGACATCTGTTTTTTTTATTAGGCTTGCTTCGGCGCCATGTCTTTCGGTTGGGATAGCGGTGTGATCGGAGGCGTTATTAATCTTGACTCGTTCATCGCGTGTGTCTCCCCATAAGAAACTACATTTAAGTAGTCTCAACCTAGACTTGGGATAACTTCTAACAACCCCTTCTGTGATAGCGCATATGGTCTAGGGAGTAAAAGCGACGTGGCGACGGCCAATCTTCAAGGAAATATTGTTTCGGTATTGCAAGCTGGATGCTTCGTGGGCGCTCTCGTTGCTTATCCCCTAACGGATATCTATGGTCGTAGGCCTTGTTTGATGGGCGGTGCTCTCTTCACACTTGTTGGCGTAGCTATGCAGGCTGCTGCTTCTGGTCATCTTGAGCCTATGTATATTGGTAGATTCATCTCTGGTAAGTCCGGTCTGAATCTATAACTACTATCCCCTCGTGCGCTAATATTCAACCTACTAAATAGGTCTTGGTGTTGGTTGCTCTAGTGTCGTTAACCCGATATATGTTACCGAAAATGCGCCTCGAGCTATCCGTGGTCTGCTTACCGGATTATATCAAATGTTTATCGTCACTGGTGGTATGATAGCGTTCTGGGGTAACTATGCAGTCAGTATACACTTAAGTGGTCCTGCGCAGTACATTGTTCCACTCTCGATTCAAGGATTACCCCCTCTACTACTCTTCTCCCTTATGGCTATCTGCAATGAGTCGCCGCGTTATCTTGCTCGCAAGGATCGTTGGGAAGAGGCGAAGGCGGTGCTCACACGGATCCGACATCTCGCGCCTGACCATCCCTACCTACAAGATGAATTCCAGGAGATCGCCGATCAACTTGAGTACGAGCGACGTCTGATTGGTGATGCTGGTTTCTGGGCGTTACAGAGGGAGATGTGGACGATCCCCACAAACCGCAAGCGAGCTATCCTGAGCATCGTGCTCATGATCTGCCAACAGATGACGGGTACTAACGCCATCAACACATATGCGCCGCAGATTTTCAAGAATCTTGGCATCACGGGTACCTCGAACTCGCTGCTCAGTACTGGTGTTTACGGCATCGTTAAAGTTGTAGCGTGCGCCCTGTTCTTGTTGTTCATGGCCGACTCTCTTGGCCGCCGCCGCTCGCTGCTGGTCTCCTCCGTCGGGCAGGCTTTCTGTATGTTCTATATTGGTCTATATGTACGCATCTCCCCGCCCGTCGATGGACAGCCTG